TAAATTTTACGTGGCTACTTCCAAACGCATATTGAATGGTATTAGTCAAAATCTCAAACTACAAATTTTGTAATATTTGAAAATGTCCTAAAATTCTAACCTAATATTGCTGAGATGAACATATTCAAAAGCCGCACTTTTAAATACACAGTGTACATGAACCCAAAAAGCCCCGGGACCCGTATTAAATGGTACAAAAAAGGTCGGGTGGATGATTCATTAAATTAGCGTTAAGCGCAATCAGAACACAACAGTAAAACAAAATGCTAGCGTGCTTTTAAATAGGGCAGCGCCATCTAGTTCTTTTAGAACGAAACTTATATTTGCGCGTGAACACACTGTTTAGGTAACATAAATTCCAAAGGAAACAATTCTATTTACTAAATTCTAAGCACGTTCCTCGTACGTTGTAAGCACCCAACTCGTGTTACTGCTGACCCCAAACAGGTTTACTACCTTAATAATGTTCAATGTATGCTTCTACTAAATCGATGAGTTTATAAATGAAATCTATATTAATTAAAATATAATCTTTATATATAATTCTTCTGTGAGTGTGTATGTCACTGAACTTCTCTCAAACGACTGGACTGATTTTGATGAAATTTTTTGTGTGTGTTCAAGGGGATCTGGGAATGGTTTAGATACACAATTTTGTCCGCTGGACAATGTTTTTTTTATTAATTTTTAATTTATTAGTAGTTGTTGATTTTGGAATGTTTTACATTGGATCCGACAGACGGCGCTACCATCGCATTGTCAAATTTTAAATAATATTCGAATTTTAATTTTAGTCTGTCCCGACTTGACAGTTTTGTATTATTTGTAACGTTGTTTTGTCTGACAACGTCTGTCGGGTCCGCTAGTTTTTTCATAAGCTTTTAGTCGCGTTGCAATAAAACGGTACGGTGATATGTTCCAGAATGTGTAGGTCAGAAAACGAGAATAATATAGAGACAATTTTTATATATTTTAATATTCCTAAATATATAATACTAACATAATTTAATTATAATTATTTTCTGTCAAAAAACAGCACAAAACTTTAATCAGACCTTATTTATCTAAAAGCTTTGAACCACAAATTGACATAAGACGTGACGCCATTTTAACTTTTAAAAGGGTCTCTAAAGCTCACCTCAAAAAGTTAGACGCAAAGCTTTCAAAAGTTGAGGCCGAGCTTATGGGATCTGTCTTCTTGTACATACAAATAGAATATTTATGAGCGAACTTTTTAGTTAGTTGTTTTAAAAATAAATTATTCTTTGCTCCCAAATATTAAATCCAAATATATTAATATTAAAAATGAATATTTTAATAACTGTCTAGATGTCAAATTTATTTTATTTTCAGAAAATTCACCACTGTATATTAGATTAAAATTATAAGCCGATTAAACATCTTCAATTTTAACTGAATAGTCTGTACAGTAACTGTCAGAATGTTCAGTTTTTGCTAAACACGTATAGTCCAACTATTTAGTTAAGAGTCAGCAATTAAAACTGAAGATGTGTAACTATCGTCTTATATCCGATTTTAATAGTTTGTATAGAATTCTTTTGGTATTGAATCCTAAGTCTACACTAACATATAGTCATCTCTTTCATTCCCTTTAAAGAAACTGAGAAAGCAATGTTTTTGTTACCACCGTTACTAACTATAACATGTCTACATTGTACATAGACAATTATTTTTTTTAATTAAAAATAAATACACTTTGTTAAAAGATGCTACTTAAAATGCAACAAAGTATGTTTTAAGAAACAAAATAACTTTATTCATGTTCAAATAATTATCAACGCTCATTAGAACCAGAGACAATTTTAATCTTACTAATATTATAAATGCGAATGTTTGGATGGATGTTTGTTTGAAGATATCCCCGGAACGGCTAAACGGATCTCGATGAAATTTGCCATACATATAGAACATAGTTTGGAAGAACACATAGACTATTAATTTATATTTTTTTAATTTCTCGTGGAGAGTCGCGGTCGACCGCTAGTGCACAAATTATTATAAACGCATATTAGAACCAGAGACAATCTTGTTTTAATTTATTTATGGTGAATAAACTATTCAATAGAAGGAAAACAACTAACCTTGACCTCTTTGGATAATTATACAATAACGTCTATGGATATTTTATAAGTCGCTTGCGTAAACAGTAAGCAAACAATACGTGACATTTGTTCAGTTTGGCGGGACGGGCACATCGCGTCACGCTCTTTGTCCCGTCAGCAAGCTGAGCGTGCTGCGGGAAAGAGTAAACACGTTGCTGGCATTACGATTAAGTTAATTAAAACTTGAGATTAAAGTTCATTTTGTTTGGATTTAATAGATTATATTAAAATAAATTGAATGATGTTAACCGCTTTTTCAGTGTGTGCATTAACTGTTGATTTCTGAGACCAAAATCTTTGTATAAAACATATCGTCATCCCTGTCGTCATCTTTGTCAAAACAGAGATAACTAAATAAATTTTAACGGTGGTTTTGGTTTCAGAAACCCAGTGTTAAGCTTGAATTTCTTACAAATTAAACATATTCACCTACGGGCGCATAAGAGTGTCGGAGGCTCAGGAGTCAAGCACTTGACTTGCAATCTATAGGTCCTAGATTTGAATTCCGCCATGTACCAATGTGTTTTTCGATTTCCGATTTACATATGTACATTTATCCGACGTTCTTACGGTGCAGGAAAACATCGTGATGCAACCTGCACATATTTGAGACGAAATTCAAAGATATGTGTGAAGTCAACCCGCACGGTTGACTATGGCCTAGTCACCCCTAACTTAGGGTAGGCTCCGAGCCCCTCGGTGGGGACGTATAGTGAGCTGATGATGATGGGCGTATATAGCACAAGCTTCGTACTCACGATTTTCCTGATACTTCGTACAGGAAATTTAATTAATTTTGGATTTTGGTCTCAAAAACCAAAATAAATATTAATAATATATGAAGTTACAAGGGTCCAAGTACTCAAGTTACAAATATGAGTACTTGTACTACTATGATATTTCAACATATCCTGGCGCGTATTTTACGACGAGTCTATGTTGCTTGAATTCTTACGCTAAACTACAAGATGTGTTTAACCTCGCATCTCGCTAATTCTGCATCTTGTCTTGTGCAATAAGGTCTCAATATGCGCTTACGAAAGTACAATTTTCAGCACATTTATTCAAGGTCAATACATCAATCGTTTAGTCATGTTTAGGTTATTTAGCACGATTCAATGTTTTATTATTTAAGATATTGAAATAAAATAAATCTATAATTTAACAGTGGTTGATCGCTTTTACATCTTCGCACGAATTGTCCCAGCTCGCCTGGTGAAATACCACGACCACACAGAAGACAGGCGTCAAGTGGAAGCAATACCGCGTTTCGTCTGATGAGTGTCCCGGAGGCCTAATTTATTCCTCTTTCCCTTTCCACCTTTTTCAAAAAAATTATATATATTAAAAACTTAGATATTAAGCCTTCTTTCATATTTTGTTGTATATTTTAACGTTACAAAGTTCTGTTAAATTTTAAAAATAAATAGATTTTTAAAATCGTCGCATTTAGATTATCTCCAGATTATGCCTATATTAATTAATACCTTTTGGATAACTGAAAGAGAACGTGAGCTTATTAAAAATATAAATCTTTGTCATTAGTCAAACTTTATGACAGAATTTCGCGGGAGAAATCGCGTGATTACACAAAGTATTAGGCTGCTAAATATGCACAAATAAAATGTTTAGCAAATTCAAATTAACAATCAAATTATCAACAATTAGAAGAAATCCTTGCTAATATTTTTGTTTGTTGTTCAAAAATGCTTATAATTGTTATCTTACTAATATTACAAATGGGAATATATCGATGGATGTTTGTTAGAGGATATATCCAGAACTGCATCGATTACGCTGAAATTGCATAATTGTAACGTAGTCTAGAACACATAGGCTACTAATTAAGTTTTTTAATATCGCGCGTACGGAGTCGCGGTCAACTAGTTAAATAAACTACCAGCCAGGGTAAATGACATCTTGCAGGAATATTGAAAAAAGAACCCTATATCCAGCACCGGTAAAGTCTGACATGATGAAGAACTAAGAACTTTTTTATTACATCTATGGTAGCTTTTTAGACGCTTGCATTTGCGTTTCATACAAACGGTATCAGTTAACAAGGTCCACTTGAGAGTTTGGGTGACGTCTTCGCAGTGATTACTCAGTACGACTCATTGAACAATTGTGACAGCAATGACCCTTGAGATAATCCGTGATGTTTACCACAAAATACAAATATATACGGACAATAAAATCGATCCTTATACCAAAAAGTGTACATCAGAAAAGGTATTTACATGTTTTTGACTTTTATGAATATTTGTAAATTACACGTAAATAAATAGATTACAATAAAAACAATAACTTACACACGACTCAAAGACTTCTTCAATTCCTGTATGTATTTAATATTATTTTGGTTCTTTTATGTTTACGTTGGTTAGTTTAATTCATACGTAAAAACATCGGGACAGTCTACCAATATATTTGGTCACCGCGAATTCAATCAAGTTCTTGTCGGAGAATTTATGAATAATAACCAAAAGCATGTTCGTTGGAACCAATCGTATCGTCTCAAGCCTTTATTCGTATCGGATTGTAAATAAAATGGACCACAACGTCTATGATCAGGTAGTTGGGAACAAAGGTGGGGGAAGGTGCACAAACTACAAACTTGAATGCATACGCGCATCACAGCTATGTGCATTTGACAACTATTTTGACCGTTATTTTTTAAAATATTAAATACCAATTTATTCCTATATTAAAAGTTAGTTAAAGCAAACATTTATAAGACTAACCATTGCATAATTTATCCCAATACAGAAGGTCTTTAGGGATTTGAATTGAACAAAGCCAGTGTTTATATTGACATTTCGAACGCGTTTAGGAAAAAGCATGAATTAAAAGAGTTGTATTAGGTCATATGCTTACTGCGAATGCGATGTTTATGAATATGAAGATCTTCTCAGCGGTGCAGAGCCCCCGGGCGCAACCCATGGCTGCACTCACTCACTGCACTATCACAACATAAGACACGTGCGGCCGCGAACACGCCGCGTAAGGCACTGCCGTTTGGCGGGCGCGGGCTGGGCCGGGTGGGTGACGCGCGCTAATTCTAGGGATGCACAACATATCGACTTCCGAGTTACCCTTAAACAAAACGTAAACTATGTCAATCTAACACGCAACCATTTGTACCAATAATTAAATATCAGTAAAATTATCTGTTCTTACAAATGCAGATAAAAATATTTTAAACTAAACTAAGTAGGTCTTACTCTAATAAAATAAATTAAAAGCGTATTTATTAGGTTCATGGAACAAAAGCTATTTCTTAATTCCTTAATTAAAACCAAAGCTTTATGAGTTATTGCCGACGTTTTTATGTTGACTTTAATAATTAAAAAAAAAGAAATAGCTGTCAAACATATCGACATTACTCTTCGGTCCCGCACTATTTATCAAGCTCCCGAGTCCCACACGTTCCATTCCAAGCGCTGCCTAATTTCTTTACAGTCTGACCCAAAAATAATTAATTTCTTCTTACCCACCTAATAAAAACTTAACATACATAAAAGTTCTGAGAATTTTCAGTCATATGGCTTTTACCATTTTACTTTAATTGAAAAACTTCGACATTTCGAAATTTGAAGTTTATGCTAACTATAAAGAGTTGGTATTATCAATTTTTTTTTCAAATCGAACTCTGATTAATTTTCAATTAACAACATAGTCGATCAAAAATTCCTTAATTGTTTAATTATTTAACATGAAAAATCTTCACTAAATGTGGGTTTCTGATACGTCTCCGTTTAAAACGTATCGTCAACATGTCATCTTGGACATGTTTGAGATAACAGTATGATTGAAATGGGGAATTTGGTGTCAGAAACACACAGTAAGTATAATAACTTATCTCATATCTTTAAATGAGCAATTCTTGTATATATAAAAATATATAATTGGAATCTCGGAATCGGCTCCAACGATTTTGATAAAATTTAGTATATAGGGGGTTTCGGGGGCGATAAATCGATCTAGCTAGGAATCATTTTTAGAAAATGTCATTTTATTCGTGTTTTATCGATAATCAACTTAAACATAAACTTAACTTTTTCTATTGGTAAGATCGAAAAATATTATTCATATTTCATCATTTTATTATTAATTCGTACTTATATAATATAATTTCCAAAAAACACAATTAAAAAAAATACCGAGCAAAGCTCAGTCGTCCAGATTTTTATATTTATTTATTAGACGTCTACTCTAATTCCGATAATAAGGGATACTTAAACGCTATCTTTTTTAAGTTTAAATTTTGAGTATCACACTCTCGGCTATGACACATTGGATATCACTAATCAAAAACATTGTATCTCTTGGTATCAAATGAAAGAGAAACCCCACTATCTTTAGTATGGCTTCTATTTAATATTAAAAGAACTACTTAATTAAAAAGTTTTTAATAAAAGAACACGTTAAAAGTTTTTAAAACATCTATAAATGATTAAAATTAGTTAACATTTGGATTAAGATTAACTTAGTTTTCAGCACTAAAAGAACACATATTAATGTTATTTTTGATCCAAATTAGCACAAGCCTTGTCCTTGATAATTAACTGTATGATATCACTGTTTAAATACTCCCCTTAATTTACTATGAGGAACAGAGATTAGTGTACTTTGCTTCGGCAGAGGAAAGCCACGCTAAGAATCTATATGTTAATAAAAATTTAACTTCTTTGACAACACTTTTAAGGTATATTTACATAAAGCTCATATGCGGTTATCAATAAAACACAGATTAAGTTTAATTTTTAATACTTCTACGCATTCAACGAAAAGAGTTATATGTCTCTTAAGAGATGTAACTCCTTTCATCACTTTGGTCGTGTTGCGTCATTCTCCAAAACTACATTTCCGTCTAAAATTGAACGAACGTATATTGATTTACGATAAACGAATTGAAAAAGGTCATATCACGTTACTTATCCATTTAGGCTCCGTTACGGAATAAATGAAATCGTGAGAGCATTTGATTTTGTTCTACAGAAGCATTGAAACAGTAAAGTTGTTAAATCAATTTGTGGTACGAACTGACTTGTTTATGTTGTCTATGCCCATCTTACTAATATTATAAATGCAAATGTTTGAAGTTTATTAAAAGGTATCTCCATGAACGGAACGACTGCATGGATCTCGCTGAAATTTAACATAGATGTAGAACATTCCGAGCGCACAGAGTTGCGGGTGACAGCTAGTATAGTATAGCAAAGAAAAAATGAATCTGCTTTTAGCCTAATAATTATTTCTAACCAAACTTCTTGACAGCATCAGTAAAGTAAAGAAGATGAGCATATTTTTTTACCTAACCTCTAATTTTGTAGTCGTGATTAGTTTTTTTATTGTTGAATAAAACTTAAGTCAACGTCCGAGAAATAAACCAATGGTCCGTGACATTTCTCACCGCGAAGCGTTAAATCGCAAAAATAATTACAGTTTTACACTGATCCGACCTATTATATTGCAAACGTTTGATTGTGAATTTGGAAAAATACAGAATTTGTTCATTCTCCGAAAACTTGAGTTGAATTCTAACTAAGCTACTCCTTACTAATATTATAAATGCGAATGTTTATGATGGATGGATGGATTTTTGAAGGTATCACCAGAACGGCTCTATGGATCTCGCTGAAATTTAGCATAGATTTAGAACATAGTCTGGAAGAACACATCAGCTTATTTAGTTTTTTTAATTCCTCGCGACGAAGCTATCATAACATTTTTAAAACAAGACATTTGTGTAACAATGCAAATACAGGCAAACTTAGGGAACATACCCATACTACGTGAACCTCCCTCCCCTTGGTGACCACTCGTAGTACATGCCATGACACCCCCCCCCCCATCTTTAGTTTTACGTAGTAATTCATAATTATGATTTTTAATGATATCACAAGCAAAAATTGAAAAATTTGGCTCATACTCTTCTTTATAGCATAAGACTGCATGCATATTTAAATTACTAGTTAATTATGTATTATGAAAAAAACAAGTACTAGACTACGTGACTTTTTTTTTTTTAGAGGGGAATGCTTTATGCATACTCCGCGCCCCGGGGGGGACGCGGTAGTTACGTGGGATTCTCCTCCATACCCACTAAACCCCTCTGTTCCTCCAACGCATCGGGACGGGACCACGGGCACGCTTTCGCTCTCGTCCGCGGCCCAACGACTACGTGACTAAAATCTGAGCCCCCGCCCCCCGATCCTGTGACTGACCGTAGTGTTTTAAAGACTCCGCTCACCCCTCCCTAAACGGGTCACGTAGTATGGGACGTTCCCTTATTAAAACTGAACCAGTTCAATTAAATAAATTTTTTCTTTGCCTCTCGATAAAAATATTGATTAAACTACATTAAATATTAATTAGTAATGATTAATTATTCTACTTTTTATATCGTAGTTTAATATGTCCTTGCTATCGTCGTTTACTCCATGTCGATAAATTACTGATGTCCTCGACTATTGTAGTAACAAGTTATAGCAATTGTAATGGCCGACGTGGTCTGAATCGATACAGTTGCCCAATGTTCACAATGCCTCATTGATTGCACTCAATAGCCCTCTTACAGGACCGTATTCAGATTACATTAATTTTAATCTTTAAAATACTTTTTAATAATAAATATATTTATAAGAATTAAATAATCGAATCTTACTAAATTAATGCGAATGTCCCAACCATTTGAATGGAATTCACAATTTGTTTGGATGGATTTTTGTCCGAAGGTATCTCCAGATTGGCCGCATGGATCTCGCTGAAATTTAGCATAGTCTGTAAGAACACAGATGCTATAATACTAATTTAGTTTTTTAATCTCGGACTTAGTCGTAGGCGACAGCTAGTGAATTTATAAGAACTTAATGCTCATACCAATCCAAAAGTAAGCATCCCGTAAGTCGAAATAACGATTATTTATTTTTTAAGAAGGTTTATCTTTGCCCACATACAACTATTGCTTTATCTATACAATATGTATTTCTTTTTATATGGGATAACAACAGAGAGGTAATGATGATAACCTAATTACTTAGCACGTTACATATTTAAATATCATTATTTTGTTTACCCATTTCATTTTCTTGCTATAAGAATCCGCTTCTGGCATTCTGAGCGACATGTTGCAGAGGCGGAGCATCAATTGGGAACTCTTAAGACGGCAATCATCACAATTACTGCAAATAGCCGCTAACTATAACACGATTCAAACTTTACGGCAGCTCGTGTTTAAATATCTATACTAATACTAAAATTATATAAAGGAAAGATTGTTATGTTCATTTGCATTGAATAAGCTCGGAAAATACTGAACCGATCTGAAAAATTCATTCGCTGTTGGGAAGCTATACTATCCTAAGGTGACATAGGCTTTTTTTTATTAGAGAAGTGGCAAACGAGAGGCGGGAATATCGATGTGATCAATGACATCCATAGTTATCTGTAGCACCAGAGAAACTGCAGATGCGTTGCCGGCCGTTAAGGAAATGGTATGCTCGCTTTTTGAATGACCCTAAAACGTAAGGCTATGTTTATTACAAGATTTTTCTTTAGTTCCAGGATGAAGGCGTGGTAAGCTGCTATTACGTATAAACTTGCGCTTGACCACGATTCCACTTGCAGAAAATTGTGATGTGGTTGAAAGATGGTACCCGCCCAGATATTAAGTTCTACTCTTCAAAATCTCCATTCATCTTTGCTTGGAATCACTAACATGCCAAGTATGAGGCGTTAGAAAGAATGTGGGAGTTAGGTAAGCTCAATGAAATTAAAGGAAAGAGCAAGAAGGGGCGTGCCCGCATCTTTTTAACGCCGAAAAAAATTGTGATGCGTGTGAGAAATTGCATGCCGCCATTAAGTTTGGATAGCAATATACCGCCGGTTATATCTGAGTATTGACTTAATCTTTTTAATTATAACGCGCTTTAGATAATTGAAAGACGAATTTATTTAGTACTGACCTTATTAATCTTAGCAAGTTATGGAATAATACGAAAGAATATACAAAGATATTTGGTATCGTAGGAAATAAATTAAAAAGTTGAACGCAAATAAAAGGAAATGGAACGAAAAACTTTATTTGTATTCCATTAATTTTATCAATCATTATGACGTTACTTTGGACTGAAATCTTTTAATAGATATTAATTATGGAACAAAAGTTATTGATCGATCAGTATTCCCCAGAAAACGAGTGTAAGATATTTTTTTTTACTATTTACAAAAGAACTTTTCGAACGATTATTCGGTGAAACTTGAAAATATTAAACACTAGTCGCCCGCGACTCCGTCGTTCGCGAGCTTGTGTTCTCTCAGACTATGTTCTACATCTATGCCAAATTACAGCGAGACCCATGCAGCCGTTTTTTTTTTAATTGCGCGCGGACACAGTTGAAGAAGACAGTTTTTACATAAAGACTTCACTGTTTGACATCTACTTTGTTACCAATAATGTGACTTTAACCATATGAAAGCATATCGAATTTGACTGCAATCTATTTTACGTCAGTGTCAACTGTCAATCATAGTTATATAGCAACATTGTATGAAAAAGTTACTATATATTTGCAGACGCTTGTTGTCTTCCTAGATGCAATCATACTTCTTTATATTGAGGTCTTTGTTTCACTAACATTTTTTTTATATCATAAGATGACAAACGATAGAGCGGCCACCTGAAATCGCTGAAATAGTGAAATGACCGTTGCCCATAGACATACGCAATTGCATATGCGTTACCTACATTTAATCGACGGAGGAATGTACATAAAGAAAACATTTTCCCCCTCCTTCCTCTTCCCATCCTTTCCTTATAAGAAAAAGGGTGGGAAAGGAAAGGGGACTAACTTATATTTCTTGTACCATTCTAAGTATACTTTAGGCTTGTGGTTGGAAATGGTTTACAATAGTCGAATTGCGGGATTCGAACTTTCGACCACATGATTGGAAACCCTTAACCATTAGGCTATTGGCGCTCTGTCGTTTAAATTAAGTAAAAATCTATTTATTAGTAAACAAAAGGTTTCATATTTCTCCATGTATTTTTATCTTATCGTGGGTTTCCGAGACCAAAATCCTTGTTGTTATTCAACAAAAACATATTGTTATTCCTATTTTGTTAAAAAAACCAGGGACGATATGTTTTATACAGATTTATTAATCTCAGAAACCCACGGTTATTTAGTACTTAATATTAAAGATATCAAATCTTACCTTGGTAATAAATTATCCTTAGAAACTTGCAAAGAGTTTGAAAACCTGCATTTTGTCACGTGATAAAAATACAGAGTGTATTTTGTTTTAGGAAAATCAAAGACAAAATTGTTAATGTATCCATTTATTAGTGTTTAAATTAACATTTGCATCTGACGCCGCTAGATGGCGTTCTACAACTACAACGAATACCATGGAAGCCTTGACAGATTGAATATCAAAATATTATTAATCAATGTAAATTGTAAGAAAAATGGTTTTATTTAAAAAAAAGTCGGATCAAACCAAAACACAAAATTAATTAAAAAAGCAAAAATGATAGATAAGTAAAATCATTAACAAATTCTATGCTTACAAACAAAAAAGTGCACGTAAGAAAAAATGTATCATGTTTTTAATTTTTTTTTTTACAAAATAGATTCTCTTTCAAAGATTTATTGCAAAAAAGAAAAATTACCACACAAATAACAATATTATTAAATGAACTGAAATTACATGAATTAAAAAAGAAAAGGATAATCGTGTTGCTTTTGAACTGAAACGTTTGCTAAGACTAGAATAAGAGCACGATTAAAGTGGAGTTCCACTGCCAAAAATATTTATGCCAGTACAGGACGTGAATATTGTTGTCTCCATTCTGTCAAAGATATTGAGAAAAAAAATCGTGCGAATATTTCAGCAGTGGAAACTTACATTAAGAAAACATAAGTCCGACTTAAATTATGTTTTTTTTATTGATGGTGGCTTATTGAAACATCCTATATATTGATATAAAAGGTGTTTAAAATACAAATGACTACCTCACTAATGTAAATAAGGCACTGGTAACACATTCAGCCAGATTTTAACCATCGAGAAAACCATAGACATTGTTTTTTTAAGACAAAGCTTCCACAGACTCAAACAACATCGACTAACAATTATTAATAGCTTAGTTTTATATTAATTTATTTATTAATTTTATAAAAAGCACACCCATATTAACCTAACGTTAACTTAACATCCGAATCTTTGCAAAATTGATAACCACTTCAATAACAATATAGCCGAAGACATTTATTACATACCCACTGCTGTGAAATCTCATTTTTAACGGTCTTAATGAGGTCATCATCATCAGCTCACTGTACGTTCCCACCGAAGGGCTCGGAGCCTACCCTATGTTAGGGGTGACTAGGCTGCATCACGATGTTTTCCTTCACCGTATGAACGTCGGATAAATGTACATTTGTAAATCGGAAATAGAAAAACACATTGGTACATGGCGGGATTCGAACCCAGGACCGTGCAGATTACAATTCAAGTGCTAAAACCACTGAGCCACCCACGCTCTGACTTAATGACGTAATCATCGTTAAACAAGTATGTCTATCCCGGTAGGAGGCGCTGCTATGGGTTGATTCAGAAAAAAATATATAAAAATCTCATTACACTGACAAGAGGCGTTAGTGACATATCATTTATCATGATTGAGTTTGACTTATGTTCACCGAGATACCCTTATCGGTCTAGTTTAATAATTTGTTCGTTATTTAAAGAGTAATTACGAGTTAAGCAACGAAAATAGTTACATCTCATAAAAAATATTTATACCAAATGTAACTGTTTTCTTTTTCGTTGAAGTAGGTTAACAATGTAATAGTCTAAGCGTAATTCGATTATAATACGTCAGAGGGCGCCACTAAAAAAGTTAAAAGTTACGGGCACACAGTGGCGCCGTCAGATTTCATTTCTCTATTTTATCGAGTGTGTTTTGTTATTTTTTCAGTGTGTAAAAACGAGTGAGTAACAATGAACAGAGAATAGTGTGTTGTCCTAATTAATTATATTTGTTAAATCGTAGTGTGTTGTATATATGTTTTGTTAAGTTATCATCATAATTCTATAATAATCATTAAGTGAAGAGAACGATGCTTTTATTTTGAACAGTAATGAAAATCATTTTACAAAAATTCGGATATTTCTAACTAACATATAAACCTAAATAAATAGCTACATAGTGTTTACTACATTAGTAAGAGTATTAATATATCTTATTAATTAGATATAAAATTATATCTTAACTAGAAATATAAGAAAAAATTAAACAATGACTAAAAACATTTGTACTGAGTTTGTGAAATTACAAAGTTGCGTTTAATTTGTTAAAGATTATATATATACGAATAATATTGTCTAACGTGGATAAGCAAGAAACCTCTATAAAGGTACGTGTCCATTGGCCCGCACAGGACGCTTCACACCGTAGTCTGCAACAGATTCTAGATTGCTACTGATTTTTCATAGCACTACGTCCGTCATTCGCACCAACCGCTTGGAACAGTCTTTCCCAAAGTGGGCGATAACGCCCCCTTGTGGGCACTGCAGTTCTCAAGGGGGGCGGTAAGAAACCCAGAAAGAAAATGGAGGCGTTGTGTAGAGGCCTTGGGGGGTGATTTGTAATTTTATTTAGCTAGGAGGACTTAGACACCGACTGCATGACTCTCAACAACAACTTGTGAACATCAACTAATATGAATTAAAAGATTGCTTAAACTCTAATATGGGGGCGCTAAAAAAATATTTATTCTCAAAGTGGGCAGTAGACAAAATAAGTTTGGGAACCACTGGCTTAGAAAGGCAAAAAGCAAATCCGTATAGGCCAGTGGAGCCGTACTTTAACTAAGAAAAATATCACCGTTTGGACTCTCACTTATCCAGATTCGACTCTGTATTTTCAAATTATAAATACGAAATAAATAAGAAATCCTATTATACTTTTATATTTAAAAATAAACGCACTTAGTAATTTTAAGTAAACATTGTAAAATATGAAAAAAAAATCAGTCTCAGTGGAAAAAAAACTTAAAACATAAATTGTACATTGGTTAAGATTTAAGTACGGCACAGTCTCTTTGGTGTAAATAAATACGAGAATTCAATATTAATTATGACGTCATCAGAATTGTATGAAAAATCTTATTTCCTTTCCTAAATAATTGTATTCATGAAATAAACAATAAAAAAATTATACACAAAAAACAATATAACTAAAGGGATGTAAAATTTAAAAACACAGTGTAGAACAATTTTTTAAAATTATAAGTCATGTCCACTCTAATATTACGTTAAACCCTAAAATAACGATAATCGAATAAGCACAAAAAACCACGTCAAATAGCCTGACCATTAATCATTTAAATTTTACAAAACCATTAATTCTTAACTGATATATAAACACGGCTAAACACTCACGTATATACGTCCGGTGGCGGCACCGACTTGTTTCGAGCCCATCGGTGGGCCCTTCATCAGGATGAGTGGTACTGGAATTATTTCGCGGACGCGGCCCTCAGCTCACTCATTAATTCTTGTATATTATGACTTAAATTCCTTATTTATCGAAATCTACAATTACATATAATATTCATACATTTATTTTATTAAAAAAAATTAAAAAAAAATCACCTTAAATTTTTTAAATATTTTTCTTAATACAACTAAGATAGGAAAAATAAATAGAATTAATAACATATATGGCACGCAAATAACTTAAAATACCTAAATAAAAGTAATAAATGTCTGTTAGTCTGTTATTATTCAAAATTATTAATTTCCATAAACATGTAACATGGAATAGCTTCTCTTTCTGACTGGGTGTAAATCTATCCATCTCTTTCTAATTTAATAAGGTTAGAAAGAGATGGCATGAATGTGACATTTTTTAATTTATTCCGAAAGAGAGTTACATGTTTTTTTGTTTCGACTTTCAAATACAGGGTGATGCATTATATTTTTAGTTAGTTTTTTATTATTGATAATAATAAATTAAAAAAAAACTTAATTCATAAGATTCCAATCCTTTTTCATTGTAATTGATTTATAAAGTGGATATTAGTTAACTTATTCTAAACTATTGTAGTAATATTTTGGTTTAGTTTCAGTCAGATATGGCTGGTCGAATAAAATCAGTCTTGTATAGATAAAGATCAACGTAAAATCAGTCTGACAACATTCGGACATACGGAATGTGACTAAAAGGAAATAATTATAGCGTATCAGAGCCAAAATGCCCTAAAAATAAAAAAATAAAATGCAAAATACAAAAAAAAAACTGAGTAACAACATTATCAAATCTGCTATGTATATTAGTAAATTAATTTCCACTGTTTAAAGAATTAAAAAAAATATCTCGCCAGTGGAAATACACAGTAACATGTTTGAAAAGGCCCTTAACCTATTACAATAAGCTATATTATTAGATTAACACATTCAATGCCACTATAATTTTTCATGTAATAAAATGTACTCGCTGGGGTAGTCGGTAGCATTGAAAGTGTTAAATCATTTGAACACATTTAACTGTACTAAATATATGCGACTAAAAACTTGGCTTTGGATGAAATACAAGAAAAAAACAATTATTTGTTTGTATGTATAACATAATCACATAATTAAATCAACATATTGTTAAAATTAGATGTAATTTTCATGACAAAAGATATCTTTTTTAAGAAATTAAAAAAAATCCAGGAGATTTTATGAAAAACTATTGGATTTAGTGAATAAATATAATATCTTTAATTCCCCTATTTAATCTTATGCCTTGTACCTGGTGTCATGTTGAGGTCGTGCTGCGATAGCGAGCGCGAGCAATAACGCAAGCACATGCGCGGCAAGCAGCGCGGCCGCTATACCCAGCGGTGCGCGCGCCACACGAGCAAGCTCGGCAAGCACACGCGGCGCGCATGCTACAGTATACAGTCCGGGTGACCCGCGCGATGCTGTCGCGATACGACGAGATGTCTCACACTCGAATGGGTCATCAGTCTATTTAATATAGAAAAATCCTCATTATGTAATCGATAATTAGTTTGATATGGTAAAACTACAATATCCCTATATTCGCGGATTTTCAATTGGCAGGCAAAAAATTTGTAGACAAATTCCATATTCACGGCTAAAATGTTAAGTAGCAGATATTCAAACGAAACAAGTTTCCAGAACGTAACACCCGCGAATACGGAAATTTAACTGTATATAACTCAAATAAACATATTGGTATTATATATTAATTAAATTACGTAAGTTAAGTAATCCTACAAGCATATAAAAAAAATTGCTATTTACATTGGACAATTTCTTACAACTGAAATAAATAAATCATGTATTATATTAATATTAGTCTATTCTAATTCACTTGGATCCAAGGCAATACTTTTAGGTCCTTACTCATTGTATAATACTCACCGCACAGCAGGAAGTGGGTACCCAATAGTAAGAGGCTGGAGCACTGACTGACAAGTCAAGGGAGCCTCGTGGTGAAGGCTCAGCGACATCGCCGCCAGCCCACGCAGCTTCCTGCCAGTCACGAACACTCTCAGCACCGCAACATTGTAACTGTAATATAATATAAAATATTAGATTAAAATAATTATGATACATTGACCGAGAAAATCTGCAATATGCTTAAATCCTCATTCATACTCAGCCATAAAGAATATTGCTAATGGCTTATGCCTAATAAATATATCTTTTACTGAATATTTATAAAATATGTATTTTAATCAATAAAAATATCCAAAAGATTACTATTGTCACACCTTTTGTTACATTTTTAGACACTTAATTCTAATCAACTTACCTCATGCTGTATAACATCAAGCATATGCGTATGCGAATGCACAAGCCCATAATCATGGGTTATTGTGTCTCGTAGTCTATCACGGAGTGCCTGTCTCAGCTGTGGTGCATGAGCAGCACCCCAGGCTGCAGCTGCTGCTTCTGCTGCACAAGCCAGCGCCAGCAGTGCTAAGCCTCCGCGTAACGCTGCAGCATGCCCTGCACCGCAGACGCCTCGGAGAGTCCCGACGGCGCCCAAGGCTAGTACTGCGCCCCAGACAGCTACGCAACTAAGACCCGCTCTTCCAGCGCCTACACCGCCTGCACCCTCCCATAACGCCCAGCCCGAGAAGGCGCATGCTCCTAGACCAACAACCTAAAAACGACAACCACATAAACAACCCAAGCCAATAGATGAGTAAAATAAGTACCAAATATGATTTAATCCTAAAGGTTGTTCAGCTTTGGGATATCTAAATAATGAAGATAAGCTTCCAATACTAAGGAATATATTAATATAGTTATTGGGTTTACCAAGAAAATAATGTTGAACAGTATCAGCAAACATTTCATGAGGGCGTAGCAACGCGACATGCCCATCGTTTTTCGTTTGTTGCAGTGTAAATCAGAATTAAAATACTAAAATTCTTTAATGAAGTTTCAGTCAACGATTCTAACTAGCATTTAAATAATACAACTTTGTATTTAGATACAATTTTATGTCAATAAAACAAATATTTATCTCAAATCCAATACACAGAATAGCAATCAAATAAGACACAAGACAAAACCAAAGACAATAAATATAGCTTTGACAGCTAGGGCTTGAGTATTTAGCCGGAACTTATAATAATGTTACAAAATCAATAATAAATTATTGATTTAAGTGCAATATAATCTGAGACTTTTATTTCACATTATGTTTTTTGGATTAGTTTTAACAACATAAACAAAAAATAATGTATCTGTTTTCGGAACATAACCACAGATAAAACAATAGACGCGAACAACAACCGAACACCGAACAGCGAACATTTTGACAGCGAACATGGAATGTCTCCCATGAAAACAAAAATAAATGGCCACCGTTATTATTACGTTCTTTCTAATCATAAGATTTTATGTTCGTAAAATGGACGCCGATAGTTTGGAAACGCTTAGGTAATTTACAATTCCCGTGATAAAACTTTATATCCATTTAATATTGCGTGATATTTAAAATTTCATTTAACAACTTAAATTAGTTAGATGACAGAAAGTTTCGCGCCATTCGTACAACTTATGTTGCTTGTGCCCGCGTCGCGTTCCTGTGATGTTACCAATGGAATTTTATTATTTTCAGGGAAGGAAACTCGCATCAGCGAGTAAAACGGTGGAGTATGAACTCTCAAAGATTGGAAGAAATCGTGGCGGAGTTGATGAAACCTATTAGTGATGTTCGCCGCAGTTTCGATACAGACCTTTGTGCGGTGAGTGTAGTTTTTTCTGATAAACGCTTTATAGAATCTCAATATATCACTACATATTTGCATTTAAATAATATTAGCAAAAAAACTAGCCAAATAATTATAATGTATTGGCATCATTACCTGCTAATATAGCCATGCTTACCTTGTTTCAATACGCCGCTTCTTCATTAGCATATTATCCAAACAAACAAAAAGTTTTAAAATGTTTTCAAATTTATATAAATTACAAGCCTATAATAAATCTTATACATCTATTATATGGAAAGAAAACTTTCTTACTACCTTGTAACAGAATCAGTATGTAGAAATTACAATACCAATGTTATTATATTTTAAGTTTCATTTAGACACCCTTATAATTAAAAATACTTTGTGAATAAAAAGTAATAATAATAATAAATTAATCTTAATATAAATATTATATACTTTAGTTTTATTCTCTGCATCCATTTGGTTATGTTAACACTAACAAATATAACATTTCACTTAATCATTATGAATTAGTAATATTTAAAGAAAATATTGTAATTTGTGGTATTACTTCGCTTTAATAAATATAGGAATTAATATATCATTGTCAAAACTCATTGTTAAAACTAAAAACAGTAAAATTAAACTACAAGTTAATATCTCACTGTATTTAAGAAAACTTTGTATTAATATTATAGTATTTTCACTCATCCAATGAAAAGAGTTACATCTCGTAAGAGAACTTATACAGTTGGATTGGTCAAATTAATTATGAATTCGACATATTTTAACCTGACTGAAAAGAGGGTAATGTTATTCACATGTATTTGAATTCCTTGTGACTGCTTGTAGCGTACACAACTGAACAAATTTTGATGTGTAAAGTGTGATCCAATTTTTATTTCTTTTTCTAAGTATTATAGGGTTATTTATTTAGGTTTTCTGGTTATTAAATGATTAAATTAATGTTATTTTGTGTCAGTGTTTATACTCCTAGAGGTTATAAACACATAGGTGAGCAAAGCTCCTATCTGTTCTGCGTTGCAACACTTTATTATTACTTCTGTGCTTTTAATTGTTGTTGTTTCTGATATTTATTGTGTCCCTAATTTCAATTATATAAGCGAAGTTTATAATTTAGTTCTTTTAAGTGTCTTTAAGTGTTTTTAATTGTATTATTAAGGTACAAATCCATTAGGCCGCACTGGACACACATACTAACTGTAATGGATTGCTTGTTGATAAATGCCGTCTTTTGTTGCGGGTGGCGTGGAAGATGGACGCAGCACTATGTAATATCTAGTTTGGGCCAATGGATGCGTACCTTAAGTGTTTTTTACCTTAATTTCTTATTATTTTTATTTTTATCAGCTTTTAGAAGAGTACCTAACAGAGGCGGGTCTCCGTGCGCTAGAGGCGAGTGAAGGTGACGGTTCCGGTGAGGAAATTGATGTGGTCCCCAACTTTGCAGAGCTGGCCCTAGTCCTGCAGCACTCCGCAAGTGTGTATGGAAGGAAGGTGGATTACCTTTATCAACATGTTCTACGAGTTAGTGACTCCTTACATAACAGTGTCGGGTAAGTTTGGCAACAGCCTTAATCTTATTTCTACTAATATTATAAATACAAAAGTTTGGATGTATGGATATTTGATAGAAAATACCTGCACAAGTCTAGATGAAATTTTATATAGATGTAGATTGCATTGGCTACTTACTATTTTTTTTTTATTGGGTATGGAAAAAGTTGCTGACAGAAGCTATAATAGTTTTTTATATATAGCTTGGTATATGTGTTTTGTGTACTTTAGAAGAATAATGAATTTGTAATATAATACTTAATATCAAGTGACTGTTATTCATAACAAAAAATAGCCTTGGTAAGCAAATCTTGCAAAGTATGTAATTTTTTATTCAACTATTTGTGTAGAATATTATTCTGTCCTGTAGAACAGTTTAAACTAATGTTTAGAACTCTTTTGTAACTTGCTGGCTCAATAACTGCGAGTTTTCATTGCTGAAACATGTATAAGAACAGATCTGTCTCATTATCTTTGAAAAATTGTAAATATGTTTTTGTTACTTTTTCTGCGGTCACAGTAAGACATGCTGTGTGTGACTAATTTTGTATGTAAATTATAAAGCACTAGCTATACCAGCGACTTTGTCCGCGTGAAACTCTCTCTTTGGGTAGCATTTTCATTATTTAGGCTACTTATATTACTAACATTTATAGTAAATAACAAAACATATTAATGTTACAAAAATGCTGTCATAAACCTTACATATTCTAATACAAATTTTCAGGACCGACAGACAGACAGACATTCGCATTAATAATATTAGTAAGATATTAAAATTTTGTTACTATGCTGTATCGGGAAGTAACAATAAAAAGACAAAATTACAGACAATTTGAATATCAAATAATATCTGTTATTTCAACTGTTGAAAGTTTTATACTCTTTTATTTATTTTTTTATTAAAAAATTATTTATCAGTTATTTGAGCAGAGGAAACACTTTATTACTTTTTGCCATGTGATTATAGGATATACTAAGAAAATGTTCTGTTAGTAAACATCTTAAAATTTTAGCTAAAATGACCTTAAAAAATGTTTACAAAGATAATAACTGAGTCCAATGTAAATGTGACTAACCTCAATACTTTCGACACAGGTGTGTTTGCAATATTGTTTTGTCTGCTTGAGGACACAACACGAGGCTAAATTGTAATTTTAGCTAGACGCAAAACAAAAAAAAAATCCTTTGTAGATATTGATTAAGTGCAAATATTAATGTTTGTTTTTTTTTTGGTATTATCATTGCTTTTTTTTATTTTTATATCGCTTGCTCGTATACTTGTAGTTGTAATTAGCTCCTAAGTTGATTGTTATGGGACTGACATGTTCAAAAGAACAAAAGTCCCTAAATAATAAAGAGAAAAAAAAATTCAAGGTTGGTGACAATTTTAGGTTAGATTTTAGAGCGTCGGTGGCTCAGGGGTTACTTGACTTGTAATCTGCGGCCTGGGTTCGAATCCCGCCATGTACCATGTGTTTTTGGGTTTTCATTTATCTGACGTACTTACGATGAAGGAAATCCAGATCCAACCTGGACATATTCGGGAAGGAATTTCAAGATATGTGTGATGTCAATCTGCACTAGGCCAGCGTGGTTTGCTTGTGGCCTAGCAGTAGTGGCATCAGCTAAGTATAGTGAGTTCTGGTGACGATGGTTTGATTTCATTTAATACAAATCCATGAATATCGCGTAATTTTCTTATTGTCAGGATTTATATTCATGAGATTGTCAACTGTTCCCATTTCTATATGTATTCATGTTTATAGTTCTACAATCATGTTTTAACGTACAAGATAGCGCCATCTATTGGCTCCGATTTAAAACAAAAAAAATGTTGAATTCAAGCTAAATAAAATATAATGATACATTTAAAACTCTCTTATTATAGAATATATGCTCGAGAAAATAAAAAAAAATGTTTTTAAAATGAAAAAAAAATAATTATGACCAGAGAGATTTCAACTCGTTTTTTCATTAATATAGAATTTTAGTTCCTCCGTCCACGATGCAATATATGACACACTGCGAAAGAAGGCGAATCGAATGACAGCACCCTCGTCAAAATTGGTACAATCGTTTAGACTAAACCATCACAATGGAATTTACATACATAATAACGAACGTACATAGGCACGAAAACTTACATAATCATTTTCAGTCAGGTAATAAAGAGAGTAATTGTTACTCTAAGTTCTATGCTCTTAATGGGCCTGCAGTTCATCTAGTATTGCAGACGTTCATGTCGTTGACCAGCTTGATATTCCAGCATATCGTTTGCCCCTTCTCTTAAAAAAAAAATTGTAGAATACTTCGTGCAATTTTAAGTGCAAAGAAGACTTCAATTAGCAAATATGTGTTTTCACTTATAGTCTCAAGGTCATTGTTATCGTTCAATGACGCCAAATCCCCCATAATACATTCAGCTCTGTAAACTGGTTAGCAAGATAGGTAAATATTTGATTATGGTTACTAACTATATTGTTCATAAAATTATTCCTTTTTTATTCCTAAATTTACTATATAATAATATTTTAGTTACTGCGAAATATAGGATAAAAAGGAATCTAGGTTAGATGCTGCAATAAGATTAGGTATTTTTAGACATTACGAGATAGATTCTTTTGTAATGAATGGCGCGCTTTCGTTACAAAATCAAGTGTCAGAATGATTAGTGAGGGGACATATGTCGACATTTTAGTAAGGCTAGTGTTGCGCCAGTACACCGGCACACTGTCGGATTTTCTTCTTAACAATATTAATGTACAAATTTATACATATTTAACCTCGAATAGCTTAAAGATTATCATCATCATTGAAACATGAACATGACTTTTTTCTATATTAAACATTATTATTACAATCTATTCCAGGGAATCAGTCAGTTCCGGAGAGGAACCGCAGACACCGAACACAAGCCGTCGCAAGCGGAAAGCGTCAATAAACAATGAGTTTAGTACCATAGAGCTGGAGGAATGTCCCGGCTGCAGGCGGGAGCTGGACGTGTCCCGACCTCCGCCCACGTTACCCCGCCTGTACCTGCAGCTGGAGCCCCGCGCACCCACTGCATATGATGCACAACTCCTCGACTACGATGGAGAACCTATCGGCATGCTTGCTGATCTACATGTCACTTGGAGATTACAGGTAATTACAAAGTTAGAACAAAATTATAAGTTTTACTAATGAGACATTAAAGCTCACTAAGGAAGACCTTTAGATGATTAGGTATGATAAGTATAACTTAGTAGTTACTTGAATATGTTACTAAGACATTTTTTTTTGCCTAACCATGAATATTAAAATCCTTGTGATGTAATCGCCTTTCCAATTACTAAACGTAAATTTCTAATGTTTACAAATTTTTCCCCCAATGCAGTAAAGTTTTTATATCCTAGGCTATTATTATCTATCTCTAGTTATCATTTAAAGAAGAATCATGTTTATCTAAAAATCTTTTTCAGAACGGTTTCCTTGTCGACGATCTAGCAGAACCGCCCATAGACAATGAATCTATAGGAGCTACTCAGCGCCCTCTAACTCTGACAGAACTACAGACAGAGTTTGACAATGGTGCACCACCAGATTCACCGCCACGTTGTTCCACACCATTACCCATCACCAATGGAGATGTCAAGGATGAACATGATGAGGAACCAAGACCTATGGATATGCTGGATCTCTCACCGATACTGGATGAACCGGCCAAGAAGAAGCTGAAGAGAAAAAGGAATATGTCGGATGATGTTGTCAGCATTTCTGTTACATTGGTAATAAGTGATGGTAAGTTATTTTAAATAAAAGACTATCCATATTCAAGGTTAACAAAAGGCTATTCAGACATAAAAATTAACAAAGTGCGACACTTCCCAGGTGAATTATAAAAAAACTTAATTAAGTCTATGTGTTCTTCCAGACGATGTTCTACATCTATGCCACATATCAGTAAAATCTATGCAGCTGTATTGGAGATAACTTCTAACAGACATCCATCCATCTAAACATTCGCATTTATAATATTAGTAAGATTAATATTAAAACTATATTTTTTTTCTAGAACAAAAACGTAGAAATCGTGAAGAGCATGAGTTCAGTTTACCGGACAAGTGGATAACAAGAGTGATAGATAAACGGAAGAAACGAGCTCTTATCGTGCGCAAAGAATTATTAGCACATGAACCTAGACCACCTAATTTAGGTATGTCATTTTAACTTTTTTTTTTAGACATTTATGAAATATTATTACAAAAGGAAAAACACTGAAAGTGCTGTTTATTTATTAGATAACATGTAACGAAACTATAACTATAACTATTTAGCAATTGAAAAATATAATAACTTAATAATATATACATAAACTTATTATTGAATATATATTTTATAGTATTATTTTGGTGGATAAATTTTAATTTAATTAGTCACTTAATAATTAATATAGAGTTAAGGAAAAACTTGTAAAACTAATGTATTATGTTGTTGCTTGTTTTAGAATTTCGAGGCATTTTAGACCCTAGAGATATTGAAGGTAAGACGAAAAATATATTTGAGTAATCTTAAAACTTTTCAAAACTTTTTTCTTATAATAATTTTCATCACCCAAAACGAAATCTGACGCATTTTTATATGTGTTTTGCAGAAAATATTTTTTTTAAAAGTATTCCAAACAAAAAAAAAAATAGGGATAATCTTTGCTTTTAAACTTTAATCCATATAATGTTATTAACTCAAACTACCTTGGATTCAGGGTTTCTCGGCTGGACTAAATCAGAGATAGCGGCCGCGCTGCTGGCTGCCAAACGTCCCGACGAATCTGATGATGACGGCTTCTTCGAGCAGAGCTTCTTCGCTGAGTCGCCCACCGGTGATAGACCATCGCATATTGTATGTTTAAATATTTATACGAGAAACATATTTACCAGTGAACCTCACCATTACTATACATAACAACAATATTATGCTTAATCTCTTTCTCTATCTCTCTATCTCTCTCTTAAACACTTATATATAAGTCATTGTGCTTTATGTTTTCAAATATATAACTTACATATGTGAAAATAACATATACAAAATTGTACCTTTCGTATGGTAAAAGAGTTGCCAGTCCCCTCCCCTTCCTATTTCATCACATACTCCTCATATGTTTTAGGAAGGGGAGATTTGGCCTTCACCAAAAGTTGTCAGTCAATCTGTACAATTGCAAGATAAGGCCAGACAATAATTGTATATTAATTTTACTAATATCATAAATGCGAATGTTTAGATGGATATATAGATGTTTGTCCAAAGGTAGGTACCTCCAGAACGGCTGTACGGATCTAGATAAAATTTGTCATAGATGTAGAACATAGTCTGTAAGAACACATAAGCTGCTAATTTAGGTTTTTTTTTAATTCCACGCGGACATAGTCGCGGGTGTGTGCTAGTTTTATATATTTCCGCTTTTCAACAGTCACAACGTCAGAACTCAAGTGAGTCGGGCACGGATCAGACGGACTGGCAGTCATGGCGCGCGGAAGTGGTGCGCCGCGCCGCGCTCAGCGAGGGCAGAGTCGTCGACATACAGGCCTCCGCCGCGGTGCTGCTCAAGCACGTGCAGCAGTCCCAGCACGCGCAGACACAGCACGGCCAGGACCATGACCTCGTGCATTGCGACAGACTCCTCAGCATTGCTAAAGAACAAACTGATGTCTCCAAGTTGTTCTTTGCAACGCTTTTCCTGGTAAGTTACTTGGTGACTACATTTGTTTTAGATTCTTTCCAAGAAGCACGCATACCATTTCCTTAAATGCCGGCAACACTTCTTCAGTTCCTCTTTTCTTATATTAAAAAGGTTATAGAATCTTCTACGATTCTGCAGAAGAAGCGTCTTTTTTATATAAACTTTTGGAACTATAATATACAGAGATATGGGTTACTAAACTGAAGCTAACTTCCCAACAAATTAACTACACACTATGAAGAAACTGTCTAAAACATATATTTATTATCTGTATTAAAAATTATGTACTTAATTTCCAGGCTAATGCTGGCAACATTGAAATGGTGCAAGGTCCACCAATGACAACAAACTCTTTCTCAGTGCGTCTGTTGTCGACGGACGAGCGGCTGTACCGCACTGTGATGCAGCAAAACTCGGAGCAACCGCTCCCACGGTGAAGTGATAAAATACTGTGCGTTATGAAGAACAATGGATGATGAAGGTTGACAGTGCATCATGAACATTTTAATGTGTGTGAGAACGCTCAAATACATGTGTTGTGTTTTGTGAGTTCTAAAAGCTAAAGATTGTGTTGGGTAACTAAATTCAAGCACAATGGGACCAGAATATGAATTTTGGGTGTTATGGAATTATTGGTAAAGTTTCTGGAAATCTGTGCCATAAATGTTTTGTAAATATTACGAAGTACAATGTGTTCTGAAATGTATCATCTGTAAGCGTAACTTCGAAAGATTATTTGCAGTAATATTAGATTTGGACAAAAACTTCAATTCACCGAAATTGGAGATTTAATTCCGGTCTAAATGTATAGATATTTACATACTTTCTACATTATTTAATTAATTAAAATAATCTATGGTCAATTTTCATTATAAATGTCTATGATACTTGGGTTCAAAAGTTTTTATAATGGGTAATGAGGGTTAGGGTATAGCAGAATAATCCAGAAACTTTTAACAGTATTATAAATCTTCAAATTTATTTAGTGCTTGTTTATCTATGGGTGCTAGCTACCAAATTACTCTTAAGCTAAGATTCTTTATGGTCAGGTGTCAATTCATTACAAATGGTTTACTGAGACAGCATCAGTGTAACTATAATTTTTTTTACAAGGACGCTTAAATAGGAACAGCATGCAAAATGAGTTTAGTTTTCACTTTAACATTAGTGTTTGGACAAATCTACTAAATTTACTATAAATATTTCTTTACACTTGAACAGATGTTTTGATCTGCTAGAAATTTCAATATTTTCTTAAATCTTTATCTACGTAATAGGCTGTAAGATAATGCTTTAAATGTTGTAATATAGGAGAAACCTTTTAACCTGATTTTATGAGGACATTTTGCCCAATGAAATAAGGTTACGCTCATAATGTTATTATGTTTTTTATTTTGAATATTTTATTTTGTTTTTTTTTTTTGTCATTTATTTGCACGAATTGATTGGAAAATTATGAATGCTGAATCTTTCTATTTATATATTTTTTTTTATAAATTTACTTTTAAATTATTGATGATATAATTGCATTTATTTTGTGAATAGTACATATTATAAATAAATCAGGGACATAAATTGGTGACAATAAATAATTTATATTTTCTTCAGGATCATGAAATTTATATTTATAATCTCTGCTAACCCATTGAATAAGAGTTTTTTTTTGTAATTTATAGTAAAAAATTATCAAGTTTTCTATATTTTTTTTTTATTTTAAGAAACATATTCGAGACATTAATATTGTTTTTTTTTTAATAAGTTTATTAAAAGAAATGTGTATATAAGTGTAATGGTTTGTTAACTATTGTTAATTTTCTTAGGTGTTAAGTAATTATGCAATAATTTTAATGCAAAAATGTTCATAGTATTTGGCGGCTTTATAGACTAAGAGCAACTTAGATTTGTCATGGTTTTGTTGTGCTTGGATTTACTACTTATTGTATATAATTATGAGCATCGGTGGCTCAGTGGTCAAGCACTTGACTTGCAATCTGCAGGTCCTGTGTTGGAATCCCGCCATGTACCAATGTGTTTATTCGATTTCCGATTTACATATGTACATTTATTCGAAGTTCTTATGGTTAAGGAAAACATCGTGATGCTGCACATATCTGAGAAGTAATTCAAAGATATGTGTGAAGTCAACCAACCGGCACTTGGCCATTGTGGTTGACTATGGCCTAATCACCCTTAACTTAGGGTAGGCTCCGAGCCCTTTGGTGGGGACGTATAGTGAGCTGATGATGATGTATATAATTATTATATCTGATTGTAAGTTGGAATTGTAAAATAATCTCTGTGTCTTTTCTGTATGGACAATTTAAATTTATATAGGGATGTGATTTTGTAGTGTAGTGTAAGAATTAAATTCGCACCCCACTTAGGATGAAGCTGTCATAAGAGCTACAATTTTGCATGTATTTATGACTAGTTTTCCACCTAATTGCAATGTGGGCATTAAGACATTACGAAATGGGTGATTAATGTCCTGGACTTTAAAGTGTTAAAAACAATATGGTGATTGGAGGTGAAGTGGTTAACTTTTAAAGTGGATTCCGGGTTCAAATATATCAGTGAATTATAATTATAAATATTTGTTAAAATAGTGCAAATCATGTTCTATGTCTTTGATGGATTTACATTGTTTTATGTATGGGTAAATATGGAAGATCATGGTAAAGCATTTTTTTTTGTATAACATCCATCCAGTTCAGATTTGAAATATTTACAATTTTGTTTTTTTTTTTATCAAAAATTTAGTTTGTCTTTGAATTAATATGACATTATGTATATTTTTGTAAGTAGAGTTGCATAATATTGAAAAAAAAAACATTTCTGTTATGTACGGTTTGGGAATTTTTAATTTAAACTTTCATCCAAAATTATTGTTACAGATTTCAAATATTTCTACCAGATTTATCAATGAAATAAAGCTAATACCAAAAATATTATTATTTGTCCGTCTTCAAATAAATTAACACTTTCTATGCTACATTATGTTCGTTTCACAAAACTCTGCTGGCTACTGAGTTGTAGTATTTGATGTGTTAAATTTATTGATAAAAATGTCATTAAAAAATTAATGAATTGTCGTATACGAATATTCGTGTACATATAATTTGGAAATAAAACGTAATTTAGATATAAGTATTGCCTATCCTTATCATTCTTCATAAAATACAATAAAAACGACATTGTAATAACATATTTTCCTTATAGTATATAAGAATTTCAATGTATATGTAATCATTAATTATGTACGTAAACCAAATAACATTTCATTAAATAAAAACTACTTGTCTACAATAACATGACAATTAATACCAATGACGTCATCGAGATAGTACAATGTAAAGAAGCTTATCTCTTAAAATAACCTGACATGTGTGTACGTCATTACCCTTAAGTTATTGTGCACTCGTTGTATTGTAGAGTTGAATTCAATAGAAATGACAAATTTTATGAACATTTTACAATGACAATTTAAATATTAAAACTGAAAAATAAAGCGCCAATAGCCTAATGGTTAACGTTACGGATTTCCGATCATGTGCTCGAGAGTTTCCGCCAATCGACTATTGTCGTACACCATATCCTATCACAAGCCTAGAGCTTACTTGGAATGGTATAAGAAATATTAGTAAAATTACATTTGTGTAAATATAATTTCTTATTTCTATTGAATTCTTTGACTTTAGATGTATCAGGCTTAAATTGCATTATCTTAATTGTTTGTATACTGTAGTTCATAATAAAAAAGGGTAGACGCGGGTCTAAATTATATAGGACAGATTACAGGGTCTTACATCTATGTATGTTCTCAACATGTCTTACCCCAATCTTGATAATGTCTTAGTTTTATCCTAACTATAGATCCGCGTCAAAAAGTTTTATAATTACCCTACTAGTCAACAAACATATCAGGCAATGCAGTTTATAAAGCCGCCATATGTAATTGAATATTGTAATTTAATGTTTATTAACATCGGAGGCAGGGTAATAATAATTCTCGAGACCTCAATACCTAGACTAAGTTTAGTGCACTCCTTTATATATTTTTGACTTTTGTGCCAACGCACAAGATTCTATGGAATTCTAATTTTGTAATAAAATATCAAAATTAAATAAAAAAAAATATGATTGTGAAGTTATCCGCTTAGAGTTAATATGATTTAGGTAAGAAAACAAGGGATATCTCTATATTTGTTATTTTTAATATGACATTTCAAAACGAGTGGTGTCGGGGAAAATCGATTAAATTTTCTTGTGTATCGATTATTTTGTCAAGAACTTTTTTCGCCTTTTCTCTTGCTGTTAATTTATCTTTTTCAACAGACCAAATTGAAATTTTTGACAGAAATCTCTTGGTCGAATAACTTCACGATAATGAGTTTCATTTCGTAGTAAAAACTGCACTTTCTAAGTCAATGTTCCGCCTAAAGAAGTTTGACTTCGAAAATTAACAAAAATCATAGTCAAAATTGGTCAATTTATTTCAGTATTTTTACGCAAACTGTCCCTCTGTGATCGAAGCACAAATATCTATTGATTTATATTTACTATCCATTATTTTATTCTTCAATAGTTTAATGTCATTTTTCATACAAGCTATATTTTATAAGAAAAAATATTACTAATCCGTCCCTTGTTTCAACGCTTATTGTAGACACAAAATATCTTTTTTATTCTACAAATTAGGTCTCTGTAAACTAGAATTGGCTCAATTTTAAAAAAAATAAGCCGTCACATTTTTTTTTTAAATAGTAACAGTTAACGCGCGTATTCATAACGACAAAATTTAACAAATTATAAATTTGGATATAAGAAAATCGAATATTTTGGATTAGTATATTTCGTGCCTTATATTGGTAAAGGCGAGTTCGTTCATAAAATAGTATAGTTACTTTAAAATCTTATGTAAATAATGAGAGTGCACTTAAGCTTGGTCTGTATAATTATTTAATATTAAAATGTTGCAGCCGCATTTGCTACACTGTGTCAATTGGTTGCATTCATTCCAATACATTTCTTGCATACTTCTGATAAATAAGCCTGCTCTTGAGAATAGCATGTATACAGTCAGCAAAAAAATACATATTTTTAAGATAAATATTATTTTGATATCTTCTTGTACATATTATGTTATATTTTTTATGCTCATTATTTTCTTAAGGGCTATACGTGCATTAAAAATACGTGAACAAGAACTTCAATCTGGCGAATTATGTTTATTAAAACTATGTTTGTTATATTCTTTAATTCTGCATTTCATAAATGTGTTTATATTATCCGATACATTTTACTTTGAATTTATTTTACTTGGAATTTTTGTAATGCGGTTAAAAGTGTAATAAAAAAAAAGAATTTAGTCGTTAAAATAATTTGCATTACGCCAAAGGAATTCCTGTTAGTTATTTTAAATATTTATGGCTTAATATTCTTCAATTAAGTACCCACATTTTTAAGCACAATATTTCAAGAATAGATTAAATATTAAGTTGTAAATATTTTTATGTAGAGTGTCCACGTAGCATCTGCAGCTGTTTTGCTGTCGTAACTTGTGACTATGGCTATAAGCCTATCACCGTGGGTTTCTTAGACCAAAATCTTATACGAAAATATATCGTCATCCCTGTTCTTTAACAAAAAAGAGATAAAAATATGTTTTAAATGAATACATTGGTTTCAGAAACTCACGGTAGGTAACAAAAGTGACGATAAGGTATGTATTGGCGTATAATATATATATGATACATTCTTTAAATCTAATAAATGTATGTATTTAGGGCAATTATTTGCCAATAACTTGTGTTTTGTTTGATTTTAAAATTGGACCATACTAACATAATTTATACTAAATATATTAATAAGCATATAATAAGGCACAAGCTCACTTTATAGTATAATTCTCTCCCTACACTTAGAGTCTGTCGATGAACACAATTTTATTTACTATGTGCTAACAGTGGCGTAATAATCAAGTATAAAAAACAAATATACGATAAGAAATCGAATACTTTTTATGTTGAGAATGGCATACTCTTATTTTATACTATGTACATCTGCTTCAACCTACAAAAACATCATCAAAATCGATTACAATTTTCATAGGTCAAAATCGATATTTATGCTTTATACTCTGTGCACAGATGTTGACAAATGACGTGACATCTTAAAAACGCCGGTAATTTAATTTGTACTCTGTCCAAGTGTAGTTTATTTGTCAAAGCGAAGAAAATAAATACGTCGATTTTATCAATTCTCAGGCGATTTGTACAATCTAACGGTGCAAGAGAAACGTTCCTTTAGCAGTAAGTATCTAGAAAGCAATAGTAAAATGATATATCTCCTATGACTTCGATGTAAAAGTTTTAATAAAAAATTTCAGAGTCCGTGTATGACTTGCAACAAAATGCGCAAGTTATTTGTTTTATTCCTGGCTTTCGCCGCTGCATGCGCCAGTGGGATTACCAGGTATACTTTTAAAATGCGGTACTTTTTTTAATTAATAATGTTTTTGCTTAAAAAACCTCAAAACTTTTAACGAGATTGATTCGTCATCTTCGCTCTAATTAATTAATTAACCGTATAAAATTGAATACGTGATCAGGGTGCCGCTGTATCGCATGCAATCGGTGCGCAAACACTTTCACGAAGTTGGTACGGAGCTGCAGCAGGTTCGACTGAAGTACGCGGTCTCGGGACCAGCGCCTGAACCGCTTTCCAACTACCTCGATGTGAGTGTTCCTAAAATTATATTTATTTTATCATTGCGTCGTTAACTCCTAGACAGTACACATCTATGTGGGACCAATGCAAATAAGTAGAAGCAATTTTAGTAATGTTTTTTTTATCCAAAAATAAAGTATGAGGATTTAAGGTAAGGAAAAGATTCATGGGAACTTGCAGATATAATGGTGAATAATTGGATTGATAAGTACATGACTTAATATGTAAATAACCATTATCTACTTAACAATGGCTATTTTGACAAAAGTTTAGATTTTTTTTTTAGGTTTACAAGATAGTTGTTAAAAAGTTATAAGTATTTAATTAATTTTAAATGAGCTGAACCAATATTTTTTGATTTCACAATTGGTAGACAAGTGGTTTCTTTTACAAGCCTATATATTGGCTATTTTTCTAAGTACTGTAAAATCCTTGAATACTTTAATGTCATTATATAATATTGATTGTTGTGTGCAACTGAATTCTCTTATGTTGAAATGTTTTCCTATTGTCTAACATAATAGTGCAAACAGTTTCCAACTGTTGTTTCTTTTAATAATTTCCTGTTAAGTCATAGTAGGTATTTTTTCTACCTAAAACAAAACAAACTAATATAATCAGGAGTTCAAATGTGTTATGAATATTATTTACCTCATAATGAACCTCATAATCTCGTAGGCTTAGCATATAAATATGTATTGGTCATGAATAGACTAATCATTATCAGCTTAACATCTCAGTTGGCTTGGAGTCAACCCTTATTTAGGGGTTACTCGGCCATAGTCAACCATGCTGGTGGTTTCCACACATCATTGGAGTTTTGCAGATATATGTACAGGTTGCATCACTATGTTTTCCTTCAACGTAAGAATGTCGAATAAATGTAGACAGACTGATAAAATGATAAAAATAACACAAATATAGTTGAAAAAACAATATACATTGTGATATGACTGTTTCAATGTAAACAGTTTATATTAAAACAAAAATGTAGAGCAAGACTAAACTAACAAAGCATTAGGGTCCCTTCACAAACATTGGGGCGTAGAACAGAGTGGATTTGCATCTCAAATAAAATTGAACTATATACAAGTGTAACAATGTTTTAATTTACTTTTCACGTCTTTTACGCTTGCTTTTAATAACAAAAGACGTGCACAGTAAAATTAAACTATTAAATAACTAAGCGTTAAATATATAAAAGCTGAATTATTTAGAAGCAACAAGAATTGTGTCTTTTTTTACGTCTTATAAGCTAGCACTTGACCAAGATCCCACCTGGTGAAGTGGAGATTTGGTCAAAGATGGTACGCGCTAGCTTAGTAAGTATTCACTCTACTTTTGAAGGTCCCAATATCATATTTGGACGGAAAAACAGAGGCTGGCAACTTGTTCCAATCCTTTGCGGTACGCACAAGGAACGATGCTTCGTATTTCAAGTATACAATAATCTCGTACAGATCCTGTGGCATTTATTTGCGAATCACATTTGTCCATGATTTCTCCAGTCAAGTGATAACCTTACCACCTCAATTATATACTTATCATGATGTCAGTGAACACTTCTATGTTTACATGTCGTGTTATTGTATATAATCAGTCTGACCCTGTTAGGGTCCGTTCACATAGATGGTTAGAGAAGAGGGGAGTAGTTATCGCAAATAAAATGTTTAATAGCTTTATACATATGATACAAGGTTTAATTTATCTTAGCAAACGTAAAAAAGTTTTGAAAATTAAAATTAAACCTCATTTCAATAGTATAAAGCTCATTTAAGTTTTGGATAAATTTGCTCCGCTCTCTCCTGTCCTCTAGTTTATGTAAACATACCATTACTGTTATCTGAAAGTTAATATTTGCAATTTAAAGGTATTTGTCATACTAAATTATAATTTTAAATATACATTAATATAGGCTATTTGAGTAATCAATAGAACACTGACTGTGGGTTTCTTAGACCAAAGTCTCCATTTAAAACATTGTTATCTCTGTTGTGTCAAAGATAATGATATTATGTATACAGTGTTCTAAGTCCAGAAACCTGCCTCTAAGACAGGTTTAGCAGAATAATAAATAAATAAAATTCCAAAAGAGTCAAAAATTTTACTTATTTGTCTATTTTTTTTTTTCATAAGGTGGCAAACGACCGGCCACCTGAAATCACTGAAATAGCGTAGTGACCGTTACCCATAGACATACGCAATTGCATATGCGTGGCCTACCTTGAGGAGAGGATGCAGAGAAAGAAAATATTTTCCCTTTCCATGCATCCTCTGATCCGGAAAGTCCACTTCCACTTCCCATCCTTTCCTTATAAGAAAAAGGGTGGGAAAGGAAAGAGGACTAAATTAGGCCTGCGGAACGCACACTCATCAGACTGTACGCGGAATTACTTCCACTTGACGCCTGTATTCTGTGTGGTCGTGGTATTTCACCGGGCAAGCCGGGACAATTCGTGCGAAGATGTTAAAGCGGGCTCTACCACTGTTAAATTCATATAATTATCTAATTAATTGATTATTAATAATCAATCATAAGTTTATTTTAACTGAATTAGTTTGAAAAAATCGATATTATTTTCTACTGGTATATAATAGGGCAATAACAAGAACAATATTTTGCTCAATGTGGCAAGCGTGCAAAAACAATTTCATGGATTTCAAATGTGCACTGTATAATGTGATTTATGTCTGTTACGAATTATAATTAGAAACATTATACATAGTTTTAAGAAAATTCTTATTGGCATTGTTTCAAAATAAGAAAAACGTGACATTGCAAAACTAAATAAAAATAAATAGGTAATATAATATTTAAGATTATTCAAACTTTCGTGAGACGTTATACTAGACTGATATATAAACACGGCTAAACATTCACGTATATTCGTCCGGTGGCGGCATCGACTAGTTTCGAGGCCATCGGGGGCCCTTCATCAGGATGAGTGGTACTGGTAGTAGTGAGCGACGGGCCGCGTCCCCGAAATTTACGTGAGTGTTTATATATCAGCTTATAATATTTAAGAAACATCTATATTACGTAATTTAATAAACAAAAGAAGGAATAAAATCAATATGTGTTCCTGAGGCAAAACAAACTTTTTTAGTTGTACTAGCTGTCGCCCGCGACTACGTCCGCGTAAAATGAAGAAAACAAAAATTTATTTCTTCCCGACAATTATTCTAATTTTTCTCACCTTTTAAACCATCCCTAGATCACCACGAACATTCGAAGACCGAGATAAGATAAATCCGTTCAGGCAATCTCGAGTTTTAGAGAGACTAACGAAAAATTTTCCCTGTTTATGCAACATTTCTCACTGACGCTTCGCTCCTATTGATCGCCTTCCTCTATAAATGGACTATCGAACAAAAAAGCATGTTTCAAATCGGACCAGTAGTTCCTGAGATTAGCGTTTAAACAAACAAACAAAAAAACTCTTCCGCTTTATAATATTACTAGTAATATAGTTTTGTATTGAGATTATCAAATATCTTGGGGACTTTGAAGATCACGAGTCTTTTACCGTAGCGGGGGTAAAAATGCAGTTGAGAGCACTACGCAACGTAGATGACATTGAGCCGTCAACATATTTGAAAAGACGTATACATCTTTTACACAAAATAACTATAATTAGTTTAATCTTATTCATTTATTATTAATATATTACATTTTATATATAAAATAAAAAATTATACAAAATATAATATATTAAAAATAGAGCACCACCGGCTGCGGAGTCCCATGATTCAAACAACCAGTGGTCAGGGCTGCAGAGACAGGAACCTTCTCACGATGCGTGCGGTTTCTAGGATAACTGCCTTTTGTATCGGGCCCTTAATCCAACTCTTTAGCGAGAGCTTCTTGAGATGTTGGTCGAAACTCTTCGCTATCAGTCCAATAATTAGTTTTATTATTACAATATGACATATAAATTAACTTAAAAAAAATTACAGGCGCAATACTATGGACCAATTTCCATTGGTAACCCACCGCAGACTTTCAAGGTCGTATTCGATACTGGCTCCTCAAACCTATGGGTGCCTTCCAAGAAGTGTCATTTCACAAATATTGCCTGCTGTGAGTAACTCTCATAATAATATTACTGTACTCCAAAATAATTTGTCTTTTGTTTATTATGTTTTTGTTACGTTTCCAGTGTTGCACAACAAGTACGACAGCAGCAAGTCGCGGTCCTATGTGAAGAATGGCACGTCCTTCGCCATACACTACGGCTCCGGCAGCCTCTCCGGATACCTCTCGCAGGATGACGTCACCGTGAGTATACATGTAGCGCAACATGTTGCACAACAAGTACCACACCATCAAGTCGCGATTCTACCTCAAGAGTTTAGGTTTCCATTAGAAATTGACTGCAAGAAGGTGTTTTATGACATTTTATAGCAAAAGTTGACAAATAAGCAAGCGGCCATTTGCAAATGAGTTGGCTGTTATTAATCGATGGGTAAGGGGATGATCAGATAGAAGATATTTCCCTTTCTCCTCAAAACGCGAGTGTTGTGTGTGTTGATGTCAGGTGGGAGGTCTGACGGTGCGCGGGCAGACGTTCGCGGAGGCGCTGTCGGAGCCCGGCCTGGCTTTCGTCGCAGCCAAGTTTGATGGCATCCTCGGCATGGCATTCAAGAGGTACACGCCACGCCATCTTTTATTCAAGAAGTCAAAAAACCATAATTTATTTTTAGCTGTTGCCTCAATTCGAGATTTAAAAAAGAAACTTAATTAGTAATATGTTCTACGTTTATGTCAAATTTTAATGATTTTCGTGCCGTTTTTTATATAACTTTTAACAAACATTGATCCATACATCCAAAACTTTTCTATCTATAATATTAGTAAAATTCAGTCAAATAACCTTGGCCTTTTGTCTCTGACAATTGTAAGCGGAACAGCACAGAATTATCTTTAAATGAAATTACTAACATAGAACTTTAGTACTATTTATAAATATCGTAGCTGCTTATCCATGTATTTCTCGGGCGTGATGTTTATTGTTTGTATGCAGCATCGCAGTGGACGGCGTGACCCCAGTGTTTGACAACATGGTGACACAGGGTCTTGTGCAGCCTGTCTTCTCCTTTTACCTCAACAGGTATGCAACATCATGATAGACACACCAATATCTTCATCATCAGCTCACTATATGTCCTAACTGAGAGGCTCAATGCCTACCCTAAGTTAGGGGTGACTAGGTCATAGTTAATCATGCTGGCCAAGTGCGGGTTTACTTTACACATATCTTTGAATTTCTTCTCAGATATGTGCAGCATCACGATGTTTTCCTTCACCGTAAGAATGCCGGATAAATATACATATGTAAATCGAATAAAAACATATATAAGTGGTTGGGATTTAGAATCTGAAAATAATGCTTGCAAAAGGTTTTTAGGCAATTTATTATGACCACCTATAGACTTAACGGTTTATAGATCCCTTCTTTGCCTAGTTTTTTGGCGAAATTTGTTCAATCGAAGATACAAGAGATCAAAATCGCATCAGTGGAAAAAGGGTTTTATGTAGGTAGAGTTAACTAATAATTGTGTGTGTTGTATGTGTAAGGGACCCGAACGCGGCGCAGGGCGGGGAGATAATCCTGGGCGGGTCAGACTCGGCGCACTACCGCGGCAACTTCACCTACGTGCCAGTCCAGCCCACCTACTGGCGCTTCCGCATGGACAGTGTCTCCCTCGCTGGACAGACATTCTGCGCCAAGGTCACAACACTCATACCTCGCCCTTTCATCTGATACCCGTAAAAATATGTCATCCGACATTTTGTGGCGGCAGCCATCTTGGATTTACAATGACACTGGATATAATGATATTGTTTATATTAGAAAAATGATACTAGAAATGTTTGTTTTATAATGTATATGTTATGACAGGGTTGTTCAGCAATAGCTGACACAGGCACCTCGCTGATTGGTGGCCCCGTGTCGGAGGTAGCGGCGCTGAACCGCGCGCTGGGCGCCACACCCATCGCCTTCGGACAGTACGCGGTCGACTGCGCCCTCATACCCAAACTGCCCAGAGTACACTTCTCTCTGGGAGGAAACACCTTCGGACTGGACGGCACTGATTATATACTAAGGGTAATGCTTACATTTTCAAAAGCAGAATAACAGTGGATATACAGAAAACATCCCCTCCCCTGCCAAATTCACCTCCCCTTCCCAACTTTTGCTTACTAGAAAAGGTAGTAGTTGCAGACGCGTTGACTACCTTAAATCAATAGAAAAGGGGACGCATAGATAAAAAATATTTCCCCTCCCACCTCAAATCAATTTCCCCATCCCTAATTTTATACGAAAAGGGTGGGAAAAAAAGGAAATTCAAATTATTAAAATTTGACCTTCGGAAATCACCAAATAACGCAGATTTCCTAAGGTTCGTCGAACAGACCCACTCCCTAAATAATTCTAAAAATACTCTAAATGTGAGACTTTCTAAAACTTTGTCCTAATTAGTAGAAATTATGAATTCCAGGTATCTCAGTTCGGTAAGACGGTGTGCCTGTCAGGCTTCATGGGTCTGGACATCCCGCCGCCCAACGGCCCGCTGTGGATCCTCGGCGATGTCTTCATCGGCAAGTACTACACGGAGTTTGACGTCGCCAACAAGAGGCTCGGCTTCGCGCCCGCCGTGTGAACACACACGAAACACCGGACAGACATCAACATACATCATGGAACTTTTATCATTTGTAGCCAAGTTTTAAATATGGAGATAAGTATTGTTTTATTTTAAAAAAAGTGACTCAAAAAATTTGAAAATTTTTCGCTCTTGATTACTCTAAAAAGTTGAAATTAACTATATTTCATCTCTTTGGAGTCATCAAGAGTTAAAAAGAAATAATTACAATATTTTCATTTTAAAGTTGGTTTACGAATGTATTTTAGTTAACATTAAGACATCACATTATAGAATATTAATGGAATCCATAATTTTTGTTACAATGCAGTTTGTCTAGAATCTGTCCGGTGTTCTTTGGAATTAGTTTACTCGTAAAGTGCTTATAGAGAGATGTTTAATTGTTATCTAGCTTTAATGTTTTAGTGTTTTTTAGAACAAAACACCAAAAAAAGCAATATAATTAATTTTTTGCCTTTTCTGTATGTAAATGTCAGACACTAAAACAAGGATTTCTACCAAAGATGAGATTCTCTTTTACAAAATATAATTTTTAAAAACCCAAATAGGAAAGATCTGATGTAACCAAATTATTATATGAATTCTTATAAAACTGTTGCTCTCAAACATAATTCATATTCTTGCTTTTTTTATTATTTTTTTCGCGTTTGTCTTATAATTCATCATACAATAAGTTTGTCTCCATAACATTGCACTGATGAAATCGAATAATTTTACATTTAAATTTCATTTTTTCTTTACTCGAATATTTTTTTATAGTTAATTTTTGCCCATTTGTTATGATTTTTCGGCTCTCTACACCCTGACTTTATAAAACCACATAATGTTGTATAATTTAGTTTGTTCAATTATATTCTATAAATAAAATGTTTTAATTTGTTTGTTTCATTTAAAAAATATATCCAACGGAACCCTGTGCAGGGCTAGTCTTACTAATATTATAAATGCGAATGTTTAGATGGATGGATGTTTGAAGATATCTTCAGAACGACTGTATGGATCCTACTGAAATTTGGTACAGATGTAGAACATAGGCTACTACGTTTTTATTTAATTCCGTGCAGACGGAGTCATTGGCGAGAGCTAGCTAATAAAATAAAAATGCAATGCATTAAAAAAGGTCTATATTTCAAGTAAACTCTATATTAATTTTATTTAAATAAAACATAAGTAAGATACAGTGACCATACATAAATTATAATTACAATAATCTGATTTTCTGCCGGCACTATGTTACAAACTACACGCAGCCGCTACGCGAGGCCCAGCTTGTGTTTTTTCCTAAACTTCTTCACGTACGCCTCAACCAGCGCCTGGATCTTGGTCGGGTTTATTTCGCCAGATTTATTGTGGCAAATCTGGAATTAACACGATTTATAATAAAAAAACCTGACAGACTTAGATAAACGATATAACGCCATCTATTGTCTATATTTTAAAATTATTTTAGCTAAATAAACTGCATTGTTATGTAACACATTATTGTAAACTATACTGCAAAAACAATGAAAAAATAAGTAATTTAGAGACAATTTTTTTTGTGAAGTAACGAAAATAATAAGCTCTACTATCAGATGTTTCAAGCAATGCAATTTCACAGTTGGGTTAGGTGTGGTGGGTCGCGGACGAGAGCGAAATCGTGCCCGTGGTCCCGTCCGGATGCGTTGGAGGAACAGAGGTTTAGTGGGTATGCCTCCGTTATGGAGGAGAATCACACATAACTACGTCCCCCCCGGGGCGCGGGGTATGCATAGAGCATTCCTCTCTGGAAAAAAAGGTGTGGTGTGTGGCGGTACCTTGGGCACGGCGCGGCGCAGAATGTCCTTGTACTCGTCTTTTGTGACGTGTTTCTTGTTGTAGTGCGGCTTCAGCACCAGCTTCACCTCCTCCACCACGCGCTCCTGCCGGTTCAGCTTCTTCAAGAACTGAAATACATATAACATTGCTGACTGAGAGACATACACTCAATTTAATGGTACCCATGTGCTGGCAGATTTGCGCAGAGTTTGTCGCAAGCTGTTCACTCTCAACTCACCTTGCTCTTGACCTGCATCTCGACGGCGGAGCTCGGCAGGTCGTCCAAGATCTTTAGGTTATCCTCGTCTAGTTTGACTCCCACTTGAGTTTTGATTCCTATAAAATTACACCAGTACAAAACAGGTTTTAAACAGAAAGACAAACTGAACCTAATTTTACTGCACAGTTAATACATTTACCTTTCTTTTTATTGAGTTTAACGGGCACTTTGGCAGCGGAGGATTTGTTCTTGCGCTGCTTCGAGGGCGGTTTGTCGAACAGCGCGTCGAAGATGTCGCGCTTGCCGCCGAGCGAGGGCGGGCCGGACGGTGCGGGCGGCTCGAACAGGTCGCCGAAATCGCTGGAGCCCGGCGAGTAGGGCGAGTCCGCCTGCTCGTCCTCGCGCCGCGCCATCGGCTTCACCGGCTGAGACTTAATGGGCTCCGCTTTGCCCACGAACAGCTTGGGCGTCGCGCGCGGCACCTCCGGCAGCATAACGCGCGGCGGCGCCTCCGTCTCCGGGCCGGGCGGCGGCTCCGGCGCCTCCTCGCGCGTCGACTGTAGCAGCGCCAATACTTTTTCTATGGGCGAGAGCGGCCGGCGCGCCAGCACCTCGTCCGCCGACAGGTTGGTACGCTGCGCCGCCTCCAGCGTCATGGAGCCGCCGCCGCTCGCCGCGCCCCCGCCGGGCGACGCGGACGGCGAGCGGGTCGGCTCGTACGGATCGTAGGCGTCGGGCGAGCGCGCGGAGGCCGCGGAGGCGGGCGAGGCGGCCGAGTGCGGGGAGGCGGCGGGCTCAGGCGGCGCCTCGGGCTCGGGCGGAGTCTTGGGCCCGGCGGGGGGTGCGCTCGGCAGCGGTTCCACGACGGCCGTGTTCTCGGCCTCCGCCGGCCGGACAACGCCGACCTCCCGCCTCTCTCTCGGCTCGGTCTCCTCCTTCTCGCCGTGGTCACTGTCGCTCAGCACTATGACGTTCTTCGGGGACGGCGTCAGCTCGCGGAAGGGCGAGCGCTCGAGGTCGATGATGGCGACGGGCTTTGCGGTCTCCGCCTCGGGCGGCACGGTCGTCCTCTTCCGCTTTCTCTTTTCTCTCTTCGTCTCCCGGCGCTTGCGCTTCTCGCCCTGCTCGTCCCGCTCCTGATCCTTGAAGCTGACGCTGACGAGAATGTTGTCCCCGGAGGTGAACACCTCCTTGGAGGGTCCGACGGCGTCGCGGATTCGCTTGTGTCGCAGGCGGTCGGGGTCGCGCCGCCTCTTCTCCTTGCGCTTCCTCTTGTCGTCCGCGGCGACGATGACTCTGAGCTGGCAGGGGTCGGGCGACAGGTCGGGCGGCGGCGTGCGCGGCGACAGCAGGCGCGAGTCCACGGAGGGCGGCGACCATTCGGCGGCGACTGGCCGCAGCGGCGCCGGCTCGGGCGAGCGGCTGATCGTCGGCCGTTTGTTCTTTTTCCTCTTGGGTGATTTTTGTCGCGGCGAGCGGCGGCGGGAGGAGGGTCGCTCGGAGCGCGAGCGTTTCTTCTTTTTGGTGGATTTCGGTTTGGGACTGCGCGAGGCGGACCTGCGCCGCTTCCTGCCGCGCGACAGGGAGCGACGACGGCGCGGCGAGGCGCGGCGGCGAGCCGACACTGAGCGACGCCGCTTGCGCTCCGGCGAGCGTCGCGGCGAGCGGCACGGCGAGCGGCGCGGCGAGATGCGCGGCGAGATGCGCGGCGTGGCGGACCGCGGCGACAGGGAGACGCGCGCTCGTCTCAGTATAACGGAGGAGGGCGAGCGCCGACCTCTGGACGCCGAGCGTCGCACTCGGAGCTGAGAGTTGCGGCCTCTGAGCGGAGAATTCCTCGCCCTGAGAGGCGATCCGCGCACTCTCGGAACCGACAATCTCCCTCTGGATGGCGACTTTCTTCCCAGGGAGCGAGATCTGCGGCCGCGCGACGGCGACTTGCGGACTCTGGACGGTGATCTGCGACTCCTGGAAGGAGACTTGCGTGCGCGAGACAAGGATCGCCTATTTCTGGAGGGAGACTTGCGTCCCCTCGACGGCGACCTTCTTATTCTGGACAATGATTTTCGACCTCGAGAGACGGATCTTCGACTCCTGGAAAAGGACCGCCTCGTCCGCGAGGGGGAGGGATCTTCGAGGGGCGACAGGGAGGTGGAGCGCAGACGCGGAGAGATGTCTCGCCCGAACGCGTCTTTCAACTTCTTTCTTTTTTCCGTGACGACAGTTCGGACGTCGTATCTCTCCAAATCCTTTCTTTTTTCTTTGCGCCTTTTTTGTTTCTCTTCCGCCGTTTCGCTCGACTCGCGACGATCTTTTTTATTTTTACTCTTTTCGTCTTTATCCCTCTCTCTGTAATTTCTTTCTTTACCACTTTTGCTAAGCTTCTTGAACGAAATATCGGCTTTCTTATGTTTGTTTTTATTTTTATCTCTGGCTTCTTTTTTGGATTCTTTCTTCTTTTTCTTTTTATTATCATCGCGATCTTCACCTTTGGTCTCTTTTTTCTTTACTGAAACTTTTTCCTCCTGTACTGCAGCAGGTTGCGTTCTAACCGGAGAGGTGAGCGACGTTTCCGAGGGAGCTTTTTCATTTTCAGAAAACATTTCGTTTCCTTCTTCATCGGATATCATCTCGGTGTCGAGACCTTCTATTCCCTTTTCTTTTTCGTTTTCTAGCGACGTATCCTTCGACTTGTTCTCATCTAGGCAGGGCGTGTAGCTACGTTCGTCTTCGGTTTCACTTATAGACTCCGTCATTTTTTCTACACCTTCCTTTTCCGGTGCGCTGTCTTTTTCTGACGAATGAACTTTGAGGCAGATTTCGTCTTCGGAGTCTTCATCATCAGAATGCACTTCGTTGTCAGATTTTTCGCTATCGGATTTACCAAGCTCGCTATTGTTAGCGTCTGTGTCTTTTGATAACAGTTCTGTTGGTAGTTCCTCAGCCTCTTCTTCTAACTCTTTGGCCTCTTCAGTAGCTGTTTCATTATTTATTTCTGCTTTTTCTGCGTTTTCTAAGTCACTGTCTTTGTCTTTCTCTGTGCCAGGTTCATCGAATGTCGGAGTTAGCGGTGATGCTTGCGCGTCCTTATTGTCTTCAGAAATATTCGTGTCTTTACATATTTGGTTATTTGTTTCATCTACACTTTTTTCTTCATTTTTATCCATGTTCATATTTACATTTTCTTCTGGTTTTTCTTCAGGAGTTGTCTCACGGACGCTGGAGACAAATTTTCCACTCATCTCAGATTTGTCGACTGTCTCAGTTTTATCGACTATTTCACATTTATCTACTGTCTCTGTTTCTTCATAAGTATCTTCTTCGTCGTATAAATTTAAATGTCTTTTTATAAGAGAATGTTTATTAAGTTTTATTTTTATAGGATTTCGCGTGTTTGTAGTTATTGGACATCTCTTTGATACTTTCTCCTTATATTCTTCGTCTGTTTTCTTTTTAATACTACTTTCGGAACTAGAATAATGAGGCTTATTACTAATAGAGTTATCTGTTAAAGGTTTGTTATTCATTACGGATGTATTTAAGGCCTCATTTGGGGTTAAATCGGGCGGAGGTACATCATCATCCTCCTGGACGAGGTCTTCAAGGTCATCTTGCGGCACTTCCTTGACGACCTCGACTGGTAAATTGTTACTTGTATTTGCAATATGAACACTTGTGGCGGAATAAATAGAAAAATTGGGACAATCACCATCAGACTCGTCGTCACTTTTGTCATTATTAGTTACGTTAGATTGTAACTTAGGTGAAGATAATAAATTTCTATGCTCTTTTAAAACTTGTCTTACAGCGCTATCTAATATATTATGAGGCACATTCATTGTACTAGTATCTATTCCCGCTAATATATTTTGAACTGTAGCGGGTGTGGGCGGGGGAGACTGCTCGGCTGCTGGCTGAGCTGGCAGACCTGGCAGACCTGGCAGGGCAGGTAAACCTGGCAGGGACACTGATTTTGTTTGTGTTTTATCATCCTCGCAACTGTCATCGTCATTTGTAGGTTCAGTCGGATCGTATTTTTCAGTATCGATAACCAAACCAGAATCACTTCTTTCATCTTCAGATTTTTCAGGTTCCGACATTTTAGAGAAATTAAACATCGGTGGTTCCGGTAACGGCTGATAATCTGGTGTTTGCGATTTATTCACGACAGTCTCTGAGCGTGAGTACAAATTGTTTGAATTTATTTGTGCAGGATAAGGTGCTTGTCCCATTCGCATATCAAGTGGGTTTTCGAAACCACCGAAAGAATGTCTATTGTGCGTTGTCGGGTTTTCAGGTCTTGGTCCGCTGCCCATAGGAAAAGATTGCCAGGATGGACCTAAACTATATCGCCCAGGACCTTGATCATTTAATCTCTGATGTGGACCATAGTGTTGACCTCTATTAGCATCGTTAGGAATCTGTCTTCTATTCGGACCTTGTCTATCATAAAATGAGTCATCGTTGTGTGAATACTGCGGTGGTCTTCTCGCGTAGTTACCAAAGTTATCGGATTCGTCGCGTCTCATGTTATTATTCTGATAGTTAATGTTTCCTTGTCTTTGATTTTGATAGTTTCCTCCGTAGTTATTGTCGTAGTTGCCTCTGTTGAAATTCGAGTTTTGTTCCCTGTGATAGTTCCCGCGATATCCGCCGCCCCAGCCTCCACCGCGAGACTGTCCGGGATACGAAGGAGCTTTCTTAGATGCGTCTTCACCTTTTGATAAATCAACTTTGTCATCAGATTTTGTTGGATTTGAATTATTTTTGGGCAAACTATTATTTTTATTTCTTTGTAATTGAATATCAATACTGCCATCAACAGATACGGACACGATAGAATTCTTAGAATATAATAAAGTTTGACTTTCTATTATGCTGGAAAGAATATCCGGTGCTGTTGATGTTTGTGGAGGAGATGGAATAGAAACCATCTTTCTTCTCGCCTGAAAACATAAATCAATTAACTTCATCTCATTCTTTGCATTTATTTAATCTAAATGTCAAAAAGGTATACTATAAAAATCTTGCGTACATCAGATAGATCTTCCCATCAAAATTTCATTAAAAAGATCTTACCATTCCCGGAGATTATCCAAAACAAAACCCTGCCTTGGTTTCACAATTTGTATTTTTTTTAGATACATACAGACACTGTACTGTTCACCATCAGCTCACTATACATCCCATCGAAGGGCTCGGTGCCTACCCTAAGTTAGGTGTGATTAGGCCATAGTCAACCACGCTGGCCAAGTGCGGGTTGACTTCACACATATCTTTGAACTTCTCAGTTATATGCAGGTTGCATCACAATGTTTTCCTTCACCGTACGAATGTACTTACACTGTTATTTAATTTACATATATAGATAATAATTACCTGTCTGTAAGCAGACAGCATGTTAGAAGTTGGTCGCATAACAGCAGTCATCAGGCCACTAGAATTATCTTGTTCATCGTCTGTGAAATGATCCAGCTCGTAGTCATTTCCAAACAGACTGAGTGAAGTGATACCAGCCCTTTGTCTTAGACTGGACAAGTTCTGTGTTTCTGACGGCGAGGAGTAGATTCTTATATCATTTGAAGTGATTTTTAAATTGACAAGTTGTGCGCGCACGCTCGCTCGTACGTGGGAACGACGCGCTGCTGTTCTCGGTTGCCGTCTCGTCTGTATTCACATTAAAACATTTGGAGCTATTAGAAAATTCGATCTAATAATTAAATCATATTACTAAATTATAGTAACTAGTTTGGATGGATGGATGTTTTTGTAGGTATCTCCGCGCGGAAATTTAAAAAAACTTAATTAGTAGCCTATGTTTTCTTCCAGACTATGAATGCCAAATTCATCAAGATCCATACATCCATTCTGGACTACCTTCAAACAAACATCCATCCAAACATTCGTACTTGCAATATTAGTAAGAAGTGACCAACTAACACAAAGAAAAAAATAGTATTTCTACCAACCTTCCTTTTCTTCTTAAGCTTCTTAAGTTTTTTATTTCTATTTTGTCTGTCTACATCTGCATTAGTCTTTAGTTTCCGTTTCCTTCGTTGTGTTCCTGATGACCTTCTGGAATATCTGGACCTTCTTTGAGATGTGCTCGTACCCCGAGACGTAGTAGGTTCATTTATATGTACATTACTCCGACCACTTGATGTCGACGGCTCTTCAATTGTGTCATAATTTCTTGGCATTGCTCTTAAATTTCTTCGCAACCTACGTGACCTGATGGCCTCCAAGTCATCGAGGTCCGACGTATTCTCAGCTTCCAGAAGAATTTGACATAATGAGCAAAGCCATTGAGATAAAGGCACCTTGGGAACAAAAATAAACAGTTTGAATAATATCACCATCAGCTCACTTTACGTCCCCACTGAGGAGCTTGGAGTCTACCCTAAGTTAGGGGTGACAAAGCCATAGTCAACCACGCTGGCCCAGTGCGAGTTAACTTCACACATATCTTTGAATTTCTTTGCTGATATGTGCAGGTTGCATCACAATGTTTTCCTTGAGAAGGTTATGATTGCAAAAAATATTTCAAGTAATGTAAATTATTTTAGTAATTCATTTTATTATAATTTTCTTATACTGACCGAATGGTTGTTTTATAAATTAATATCTTATTGTTATAATAATTTATTATTTATTCGCCAGTATTTAGAGAAGATATAAGATACAGTTTTAGTAAATAAATTTGGAAGTATCCATAGTGAGTTGATAAAATATTTAAAAAGTATAAAACCTTATACAAAGAGGAAACATTTTTAATCTTTGTACTAGCTGTCGCCCGTGAATAAAATGAAAAAGTTTATTAAAAAAAAACTATTCATTGCAGCGTAATATTATATAGCTTAAAGCCTTCTTCTATAAATGGACTAACCAACAAATAAAGAATTTTTCAAATCGGACCAGTAGTTCCTGAGATCAGCACATTTGAACAAACTCTTCCGCTTTATATTAGTCTAGATGTTACAAATAAACTCAAAAAATACCGGATCAATTGTGAGAGTTCTTTTACCATTAGAAAGCTGCATTATAGAGTAACATAGGCTATATTTTTTACTAGATTTTTTTTGTAATTCCTTGCGCAGTATAAAAGTACATACTGTAGTGAGAGGTGGTGTGAGGCACTGCATGTGATAACCACGGTCACATCCATCACAAAGTAACATTGTTTCTTCATTATCTGGACTTGAACACACCTGTAGTAAGAAAAAATAGTACTTAAGTACTCTTAAAACTATTCAGCTCAAACAACTGGTGAGATGAAGATATCCAAGCAAGTCTATGGTTTAAGGTTCCTACATAACCTGTCGTAAGCGACAATTTTACAATTCACCCCTTGTTTTTAGGATTCCAAACCTCATAGGAAAAAAACGGAATCCTTACATCACTTCGTTGTCAGTCCGTCCGTATGTCAGGACCCTTTTTTTTAGTTAGGTTAGGTTAACATTGTTATGCTGTCAGGTTGTTTACATACAAAATACTTTGTGTAAATTGAGATTCATATCTCCTACATATATCACATGCAATTTGGGTTAAAAAATTGTTAATTGATGTGTCATATTGTTCTCTATTAATTGAGTAAGAATTTCAATAGCATTGGGGTAATATAGAACTGTTTTTTAATCTGTACATAGTGATCATAGCCAATATTTTTTTTCTTTATAGATTAACTTTTTTCTTGACTATCAGCTAAAGATTTAATTCTTGATACTGTCCTTAAAAATGTCTTTATAGTTTATTATAACTTTTTATTATTGTACTGAAGATCAGAGATTCAATTCGTAAGATTATATTTTACTGTAAGAATTAATTGCATCTCAATACTAACCTCACAATATGTTGAATCTTCCAATATAAGTATATCTGATGAAGATCTCCGTGGCAGCACTTTCACGGGATCAGACCTTATGACACTTCCACCAGCATGGGTTTTCACAATTATAGAATTAAACGTAATTCTATCTACTGGACATGTATTGACATTTTTAGCCCATTCCGATATGCAGTCCACACAAAATATATGGTCACAGTTCTCCGGAGTGCCCACCTCCTGGTCTTTGAAGCGGAGAAGGCAGATTGAACATTTATCAGAATTCCCTTCAGAACTGTCTGATGCAAATCCAGATGTTTGTGCTGCAGGTTTGTGTGGTGTTGGTAGCGTCTTTGCTGCATTGGAGTCATCAGTTGTCCATCCCGAGATGTCACTCTCATCATCTGAATATCGCAGTTTACACAGCTCACGTTTACGAACACCACCAACTGCCACTGAGCTGTCGCTACCGCTGGCAGATTCCTCGTCACTTAAAACCTGAAAATACATAATTTTTACAGTAAATGTATTCAAAAATAACTCTAATTGTTCAACTAACAAGTTGCTATTTACCCGAAGCCTCTTTCTACGTGTATCCGCCACGCCGATGCTATCATCGCTATCGGACTCTGATGAAGAAGTCAAGACACCCACAGTCTTGGTTTTCCGTTTGAACCGCACGGGCGAACCTTCGCTATCCTCCTCACTCATCCTGAGACGTAAACACCGATTCACAAGTGCTGCTTCAATACGCACGACACGAAGCGAATTGCAAAGGTGTAAATGACCTTTGCGAGCTAATTGTTACAACATCTGAGCTAAAAATTATTTGTTTCCTCCAATCTTAATATAAAAGAACGTAGTAAAATTCGTTTGATTTCATTAAAATTATTCATACGCGCTACTTTAAATTATTTTTATATTTTGACAGCAAGCCGCTTTCGACGGTCAAGCGGCCATTTTCATTATTGCAATTCATAGACAATGAGGACGACTCATGAGCTTTGCTTTGTTTGTTTGGTTTTCATTAAAAAAAATCTTCTTAGAGTTTATATAAACGACAAAATTGTGTATCATTAATTGAATTTCAATAATTTATAACAGAAAATCCGTAAGGTTGGATAGACTTAACATAATTAATAGTAGAACTGCATTATTATGTTGTTTGTGGTAACTCAAACCGACTGTTATCGACATTATTAATAGTAAATTGATCTGATTGCAGCACATCACTAGTAAATCTCATGTGCGGCTTATTGCATTGTCGCTTTGTGCGTTTTCATTTAGTATTTATTTTCGAAAAACGGATTACCCGGACAGCTTTTTTACATTAAACATAACAAAGAAATGACAGCAGAGAACGAACGCGAAATATATCATAAATTAGAAGCGATGAAAGAAATCAGGTACTCTCATTGAGAATGTTTTTTCAAATGCTTTCGCACCTGTAGACACGATCAATAACTACTTGACACCAAATAATTATTGAATTTGAATATATTTTATTATCTCTTGCATTGATAAACATCAAAATAATCATATTGTAATTGCTATTAAGAAAGACGATACATAATTCAATAATGTATAGTATTTCAATTTAAAAAAATAAACGATTGTTTTTAGAAATAAAACGATAACTTTGGAGCGCTTGAAGCGAAGTATTCTCAATGAAGTGCGCAGTGGTGACCAGGAGGGCCGGTGCTTGGCACAGTACAAGAGAGAAATGGAGTTGCTACAGCAGGAGAAGATGAGCCATGTGGAAGAGCTACGACAAATACACGCCGACATAAATGCGGTAAGTTAACATCAGCTTGCTCTTTTTACTCCAGTGAAACGGCGCAGAATTAGTCTCATTGGTCATGCCTGAATTCATACCCTTCTTACACATACCCTTTCACACAATCTCTTTCTTTGGTCTGCCCGTACCTTTATAGCTTCCAAGTTAAATTATATTAAACAATATTTGATGTCAACTAAAGACCCAAATTATGTAAACTGATTCCTTATTTTACAAAAAACATCAAATTCTATAGTGACTATTCAGTTATTTTGTAAATTATTTGATATTTGCGCACTTCCTCGTCATCATCATATTCAGCCTAAATTTGTCCACTACTGAATGTAGGCCTACCCCATTGATTACCACAATGCCCAGTCCTGTGTCATCCATATCCAGTGCTCATACTTGTTCTAATTACAAATAAAAGAAAACTAGTTTTAACATGAATTATTGTAAGAGTCAAATCTAGTTTTTTTTCTTTACCACTAAAGCACCATATTATAGCCGGCTATCAATTATTTCTTATACTATTTTTTGATAGTTGTACATAATTAATTAATTAATTATTTAAATTTCTATAAATCCAGTGAGAATGTATTTTATAGTTATATAAAAAAAGATAGAATAAACATAGTTATTTTTCAATATTTCAAACAGCAAGAAAAATAGTTTACGAGTGGAGTGAATGTCTTTTAGACATAGAATGTTTGTTATTGCTAGAGGCGGGCTATTGTTGGAACACAATTGTAACATGTTACTGTGTTTGTTTGTTTAACTAGATCGAGAGCTCTCCCGCGCGCTCTCGGCGCCGCATAGACTAATGTAACAACAGAATAAACACTATTAAATAAAAAAATTAAAAAGATTAAAATTAAGAAAAAATATCTGAAATAGGTTATGTATGTGTGTCAGGTTTTTTGTAGTTTCTGTCTTAAATTGTAAGAAGTTTATTAATTATACAATATTATTATAATATAGCTGCCAAATTCTTAAATATATGTTGTATGTGATTGTCATTCTTTTAAATTTTGTTTTCATGTCGGTATAAAATTTTCTATTTCACCAATCAAATGAATATCAAAATATGTTACTTAGCTACTGAATGTGTCTACATGTAGGTTAATCTGTGCAATCGCTAGTTTATTTCTCGTTTATGTTCAATGATAAATCCGGGTGCGTAACAAATTAGGGTTATACTGTTGTGCATGAATCAAGCATCAACTTATATCAGTTTTTTGTCATATTTTTTTCCAAAGAAAATTTTTATTCTTATTATATTTCTCCTATAAAAAGTACTAAAATATTGTATTTCATGAACAAATAAGGTCAGAAGCTCATGTGAAAAATTTTGGGCGAGGCCTATGGTTAGCAAAAGGTGACTTAAGGCTGTTTTTGTTGATGAGCTCAATGAAACCTAACATTATTGTGTATAACATACAAGATAACTGGTGATCACTCTATAAGCCATCTAGAGTTAACTCTAACTTAAGTTTGAACTAGAAACTGTATATTTTCCAGATGGAGACAGTGATAAAGCAGACAGAGGAGAGCATGGGTCGCAAGCTGACAAACGCATCACGACTGCACGAGGATTACCGGCCATTGAAGGCCGAGGTGGACATGCTGCGCCGGCAATGCCTCGGCCTCGACCGCCTGCCTGACCTGCACGAGGAGGAGGGCTCGCCCATCACACCAGAGTGAGTCTAAACTATAATTAATAATTTAGTAATTTTACTCTTAACAATTATTTATCTATGGCAACCATAGGCTTTAAAGGACAAAAACTTTTCTAGTCCAATCAGAGTGCTGGCTGAATATAAGAAAGTGTTTATTCATATTTAATCTATGAGCTGTTTTTAATCTATGACATGATAATGATTTTATAATCTATGACAATCATTATATAATCTGTGGCGACGAATGTTTCGCAGCCGCTTTCCAGCGTCAGTGAGGGGTTCAGGTGTGGGGGGCGGCGCAGGGGGTGTGGGGGGTGCGGGTCTGCCGACTGGCGTGGGGGGTGCAGGGGGCGCCGCGTTCCTGCCCCCCGCGCCGCGCAAGCCGCCCCCGCCGCCCGCGTTCAGGTCTGCCCTACAACAAGATTTCATTACCGTCTCGCTGAGGTTTGATTATGATTTTGTTTTTGTTTATTTTTATCCTCTCCTTTCCAATATTCCTGTTTATTTGTTTACCTCGTTGATACTTGCTGCCTTGTTTATAATGTCCAGGATAATTTGATGGAAATTATAATATCTAATTTATGAAAAACAATTCATTTGAAAGTTTATAAAACAAGTATTAAAAAAAGTAAAAGTAACCAGAGTTAATTATAAGAGAAACTTTGCAGCAAGTATTTTATTATTTTTTATTTATTATTTGCTTCTAGTGTAAAACTTTAAATCTCTTATAAATAAATATATATAAATAAAAATAAATAAATATATATATATATTTTTTGTGGGTCCATGTTTGCAGACAGCAGCCGCCGCCGATGAAGTCCTGCTTATCTTGTCACCAGCAGATACACAGGAATGCTCCTATCTGTCCGCTCTGCAAAGCCAAGAGCCGTTCCAGGAACCCCAAGAAACCAAAAAAGAAATAAAAATAAGAAATAAATTCAGTCTCTATAAACTAAGGTAAGTTAATTTTGGGAATAGAATTTTGACCATACTATATGTATGAAAAAACATATGAAACGTTTGTAAATATTTTGATGTCATATTTTATAAGGAGTATTTGTTAGGTTACAGTAGGATAAAGTTAACTGACCCAGTGAGAAATCTAATTAGTTTTGTCAGAAAATATATAAAACTTATATAGATATGACAAAGTTTTAACAGTGGTAGAGCTCGCTTTAACATCTTCGCACGAATTGTCTCGGCTTGCCCAGTGAAATACCATGACCACACAGAAGACACGCGTCAAGTGGAAGCTATTCCAAGTACAGTCTGATGAGTGTGTGTCCCGGAGGCCTAATTTAGTCCTCTTTCCTTTCCCACCCTTTTTCTTATAAGGAAAGGATGGGAAGTGGAAGTGGACTTTCCGGATGAGATGCATGGAAAGGGAAAATATTTTCTTTCTATGCATCCTCTCCTCCGTCGATGAAAGGTAGGCAACGCATATGCAATTGCGTGTGTCTATGAGCAACGGTCACTTCGTTATTTCAGTGATTGCGAGCGCTCGTTCGTTTGCAACCTTATGTTATAAAAAATAAAAAAAACAAAGATCTTGTGTAACATTTATATAGACAAAGATGCATTAATATGCTTTAGTTATTTTTGCCAACTGGCTTTAACTTTATCAGTCTGAATTTTTTAAGAATTTTGTGTATAAGTTTGAAGTTTAATGTACAGTGTAAATATTTTATTACATCTTAATAATAATTATAATTACTAAAACTTTTTAGCATTAATCAAAATAGGTCTAAAATTAAATTGTCATTTAATGCCGTCTCCATAGACATACAATCTTTACATATTTAATCATCATCATCAGCTCACTATACGACCCCACCGAGAGGCTCAGAGCCTACCCTAAGTTAAGGGTGATTAGGCCAGGCCATAGTCAACCACGCTGGACAAGTGCGGGTTGACTTCACACATATCTTTGAATTTCCTCTCAGATATGTGCAGCATCACGATGCTTACCTTCACCATAAGAATGTCGGATAAATGTACATATGTAAATCGGAAATAGAAAAACACATTTGTACATGACGGGATTCGAAACCAGGACCTGCAGATTGCAAGTCAAGTGCTTGACCCCTGAGCCAACGACGCCCTAGATATTTAATACGGAGAAGAAATTGAGTCTGGTGCCTTTGGAAGCTTTATTTTGGGATAAATTACTTGGTTGTCAATCTTACTAATGGAAGGTATCTCCAAAACGGCTAAACGAATCTGGCTAAAATTTGGCATACATAGTCTGGAAGAACACATAGGCATATTGAGTTTAGTTAATACCGCACGGACGGAGTCGCGGGTGATAGCTAATATTGAGATAAATTTCCTCAATTTTGTTAATTACAATATGACATTTCCAAAATATATTTTTTTATTAGATGTCCTTGTATGAACTATATCTATAGGTTGTATGACTATGGCTTTGTTTATGTCGTTTCTTTGAGTACATACTGTGCCGACCCTCTTTAGGGTAAAAGGATGAAGGTTGAGTTATCTTGTACTGCAATATGATCTAGTCGAATATGTAAAAGTAGATTAAGAATCGATTAAGAAATTTGTCCGTTTGTAATTGGTCTATATTGTAATGTTTGAATGTAATCTGTTCCCGTCAGTTTATAAACTAACATATTCAAATGGTTGTAATGTGCAGTGAAATTTTCTTTACGATATTATGTTACTCTGACAAAATAAAATATTAAATCGTATTATAGTTTTGAGAATTACTCGAATATGTTTAATAAAATCTTTTTTATATGACTTTAAAATTTTTTAAGCGGGAAAATATGTTAAAGACTAACCAGGATATCTGTCCCGGTGACATGCGCTGCTCCTGACACAAAATATATAAAACCCAATCTTACTAATATTATAAATGCGAATGTTTAGATGCATGGATGTTTGTTAGAAGGTATCTCCAGAATAACTCAATGGATCTTGATGAAATTTGGCATAGATGTAGAACATAGTATGGAAGAACATAGGCATATTAACTTTTCTTTTAATCCCGCGCGTATGGAGTCGCGGGCGACAACTAGTTAGACGTAAAATGTCATAAAAATACAGGACAAAAAGCTTGTAATATTTTTTGATATTGATTAAGGTGGCGCTAGTGAGGTATTACGACCCGCACCAGGTCAGATATACTTGTCTCCATCCAGGTCAAATGAGTAGATAAAGAGGTACAGATACTTCTAACAAACGTTCATACTATAATATTTTTTTAATAATTTCATTTTAAAGTAAATTATTTAAATTTGTAACTAGCAAAATAAACTTACGTTACGTGATCATTTCGCTATTCCGGTGAATTCAGGTGGCCGCGTGTTTTTTTGCCATCTTGTAATAAAAAAAGCTAAGTCGGAATAAACCGGATTTTTCCAGTAGTTTAACCGATTCGCGCTTGTTTTAAGCCTTGTCTTCAGTTTATCTACTCAAATGGTTATGTAGTATATATTAATATTAAGGTAGAATTTACTAATTGTAAATAAAATGTATAATAAGTGTGAATATAATTGTTTTTATAATATAAAATTTCAAAATCTATAGTTGTTTAATTGAAACCTTTATTGTAATCTTCAGACATATTTATTTTAAGCGTACGAATGTGTTACGAACACTTATAGCGTGTCTAAGATAGATTAGTTTGACAATTCATTTGACATTTCACTAGAGATGGGTTGAATAAAATCGGTTATGAAGATTTCCGATTTTCGATGTTTGAGCTCATAGAACTTGCAATCGAAAATTTCGTAGTTCTTGATTTCCAATATGAATGAATTTGTTTCTTTTGAGAAATTGCGCGAGACATAGCTAAATATCTGTAGTAAATTTAAAATAAAATATCTAAGTTATAGTATTTATTTATTGGAATATTATTACAAGACCGATTCTCGATAGTTCATAATTGCTCGTAATCCGTGTACGGTTGACGCTATCGCAACCGTTACAAAAGTACAACATTAAACCTCATACAAAATTAATTGGATACTTTATAGACGTCAGTTGTCAAACTAATCTATCTTAAATAGACACTATAGTTTGAAAGTCAACTAGAAATAGGGATAACTAGCAGCGGACGCGATGCCGCACTGGTTCCCCTTGTTGCGAGCGAGCCGCATGTAGCCCGCAGTACCCCACTGCGTGCCCCACGAGTTCTTCAACAGCCAATACTTTTCACTTCCCTGTATACCGTACCCCACTATCAGAACCTGAAAAATCACGCAAACAAGCCCAGTCACAAACACGAATCGAACGAACAAAAGAAAGAGTGTATGGCGCCACAGTTGAAAATCCAGACAGCCGATTGGTCGTAAAAGCGCTTTATTTTTAAAAATGTAGTGCTGTAGTTGTAGTTCCAATTTTCACCGCATTATAGTTGAGAAAAGGAGATATTTTATAACATAAGATAATACGACGAAATTATGAAGACAGTTTAAAGCGAACGCAATGCAATGCGAACAATTACAAATAGTCGATACCTATTATAGACAACCGATTTGTCTTATTCATATAGGTGGACAAAGCGTAAGTATAAGTACGAACCGAGACAGTCATTCTATTTTCTTCGGGGCAATTGTCGGAGTAAATGCCGCTCTTGTAAAAGAAAAAATCGTAGAAGCAAACGCGAAGGCGCGCCGCGACGGGTTGTTTGGCCACAACACGCTTCAACGCCAACTCATCACCGTTGATGAGCGACGAGTAGCCGACAGATACTAACATCAGTGCCGACCTGTTGAACCTACGGACAAAAAAAGGAAAGGAAGTAAAAAATAATATGAATATTTTCGTACATTTATTTACTTTGCTAACAGCAGTGTCCTATTTCTAACATGTATGCTATCACAATTTTATTCCTATGAAAGTGAATTCTCTTTTAATCAGATGTTGGTAGTTTTAGGAAGAAAATCCGACAATGTGCCGGTGAACTGGCGCAACACTAGCCTTACTAAAATGTCGACGTTTATGTCCCTTCACTAATCATTCTGACACTTGACTTGGTAACGAAAGCGCGCCATTCGCGCCAAATGATTCTAACTAATAATGCCTAAAAATAGATATACCTGCAAGGTTTAGTGCGTGCTTCATACTTGTAGTCTCTTTCGGTGTTAATGCCCTCGTTGGCCGCCACGTACTGTAGAGCTTTCTCTATAGTGCCACCCGCACACCCATGATTGTGGTAGTCCACGCTACAGTCGACTAGATTTTGCACCGACAATGGTATAAATTGACCTGTCAATGTATACAAAAGCCCCTCAAGCGCTCCAGCCTGAAAATATGTCATCAGATATTTTATATAACCATCTCAAAAGCTGGTAACGCATCTGCAGTTCCTCTAGTATCTCAGATGTACATGGGCATCGATAAAAACTACTCGTTTTGCTTGTTTGCCCCTTATCTTGTTAAAAAAAAAACTCCGATCGAACTCCGATATAATGACGATTGGTGTAGCCTGTATCCTAAACGTATGTCAGTTGCTTTTTTAATTAAAAAATTTGGTTACCGCGGCAAAAGCATATGAACTGTCGCACTGGCCTTGCCATTTGACGGCCGAGACGGCACCGCGTTTCCTCCAGTCAACTGATTGAGGCACGTAATCTTGGACTTTCGGTGTCCAAACAGAAGCGTGGTTCCGCATCCTGACAAACATACAGCACATCTACTGAATTTATGCATTTATATTTGTGTTAAAATATATAATTTTTGTTGTAAACTAGTGGACGTATAGAAACAAAATTATAAATAATTCTGGAGGAATAATACTCCAAAATCAAAGACAATGTGTTTTGTTTTGTAGTCAAAAATAATATAACACGTACTTTGCATCCGACGTATTGTTGTAATGGAATATAAGTCGTTTTATTTCGTATACTATACGATTCGGTGTGTCCTTTCCGTTTGATAGTGAGTTGGCAAGATTTATTGACCGCTGGTAATCATTTTGTGATCTTGCCGTATTGATTAATAACACTTCAATTCCACGTTGATTATCGCTCGGACCCTTTTTATTAATTAACAACTGAAAACAAAAGGCAAACATTCACATTGTTGACAGTTGTCGAACGAAAGCCAAGGAGTTGTAAGTACAGTCACCTTCGTTCGCGGTGTACCAGTTACAGAAAAAAATTATTTGCACTTAGCAACGTAGTTATTTATTAAAATATACAACTGTGAGATATCTTCATTGTACCTTTTTATCGTTTTAAGGTATAAGTTATGTGAGTTTCGGCAATAACATTTGTATTAACCAGCATTTATAGGTACTGCTGTTCATGTTTTTAATTAAATTATGTGAGAGATGATAATATGCCTCAATACAAATTAGTCAAAACCAACAATGCTACGTCTCACTGTTGAGTGTCGCTTCTACGTTTTCATTTAGATATAAACGGGAAACGTCCGAACAATGCTCGGCCGTCGCGTCAGGGCGAGACAAACATATGGGAACACATGAGAGCGCTATACCGCTACTAATGTCATCGTCGGACAATTCCCTAGTAAACGTAAATCAGTTCGCTTGTGAACGTAGCACACCGCGAATGAAGGCGACTGTACCTTTTAAGCAAATAATTCGGATTAATATGGAATGTTGGCAAAGTAGAGGGCAATATGATACGATTTGTTTATGTTCGCACACATCTTATTGCATATAAATTTAGGTAGCGAGAGTGTTAAGAAAATTGTCATAAATCGAACTATCCAAGGGATTAAATTATCGTCTGATGTAAAAGGTCTCACACAAGACAAACCTTGATAGTTTTCCATTGGTCAGCGTTGAGGTGTAAACACAGCACATAGCCCAATGAGAGGGTACACATTAACAATACTAAAACACGCATTGTACAACCTGGAAAATACTAATTATTCATTATAAAAATAAAACTTTTGGTTCCAAATCTCATATGCCATGACAATGGCTTTATTAATAGCTGACGACCGCGACTCCGTTCGCGCGGAATTAAAAAAAAGTAGCCTATGTGTTCTTCAAGACCATGTTCGAGATCCGTTGAGCCTTTCCGGAGATACCTTCAAACAAACATCCATTCAACCATCTAAACATTCGTATTTATAATATTAGTACGACAAATCTTCTATTGAAAATAATAAAACAACTGAAAAAAGAATAATCGAAATGCCTCCATTTGTTCCATGACATAGGGATATCTTTAATATTTCCACAATGAATTATAAAAAAAACTTAATAAGTAGCCTATGTGTTCTTCCAGATTTCATCAAGATGTGGCGTTCCGGAGATACCTTCTAACATCCATCCATCCGTCTAAATATTCGCATTTATAATATTAGTAAGATATAAAATATCGTTCATCTTTAAATGAATACTAGCTGTCGCCCGCGACTCCGTCCGCGTGGATATAAAAAAACTTAGTGTAGCCCACCCATCCATCCATCCACATCACATCCATCTAAACATTCGCATTTATTATTTTAGTAAGTTAAATAAAAAGCAGCTCTTCAAGGCATAAATTCAAAAAAAAAATATAAAAATGAATAAATAGTATCCTATTTCCGTCTCCTGGCTCTAAGCTACCTCCTCACCAATTTTCAGTCATATCGTTAAAGTCGTTCATGAGTTATAAATAGTGTAACTAACACAACTTTCTTTTATATATAAGATATAATGGAAGTGTATATTAAAATTCTGTAACTAATTAATTTAAATGATATTAAACAAAATACTTAGTAAATATAAAACTAACATACCCGTTTCCTTTCCCAAAAACATCTATTTGAAACAATATTTAAAAAAATGTAAAACTCTTTGAATATAAAACCGAACAGTTTGATACTGTAAACAATTATGTTGATTTATTTAATTGTTGGAAAAAGGAAAATGATAATTAAATTTAATAATTATTTATATACAGTTAAAATAATATTAATTTAAATTAATTTTTGTTTTTTCCTGTTAATTGTTATAATTTAAGGATACGTTAAACATTTATCTTAATTGGTATTAGATGACACAAAATATCCTATAATTACTTTCCAATGTACTTTCCAAAATTCATAAAACAATCCAGCCCAAGCATCCTTATACGCCCTTTTTTTCCAGAGAGGAATGCTTTATGCATACTCCGCGCCCCGGGGGGGACGTAGTTATGTGTGATTCTCCTCCATAACGGAGGCATACCCACTAAACCTCTCTGTTCCTCCAACGCATCGGGACGGGGCCACGGGCACGCTTTCGCTCTCCTCCGCGGTCCCGTCTGCGTCAGCTGCCGAGGCAGCTCCCTCTCGGGGGATCCTTTTAAGCCATGCTATTTTAAAAGTGATGTTCTGCATTACTCTAGTACGACATTTCGTGCTGACAAAACAACCTAAAAATAAGTTTCAAGTTTCTAACTGTAAAAATTACGATACTTTTATTCAAATTCCCACTCCAACTTTCAACCCTTTACAGTTCTTTTTTACCAATAAAAGTAGCCTATGTCCTTTCTTAGGCTCTAAACTTTGTTAGTACTAAATTTCAGTTCAGTAGAAGAAGGACAGACAGACAGAGTAACTATCATATTTATAAATTTTGCTTTGCTCAAAAGATATCTATATCTACACATTTGCTCATCATCCTCTATCACAATTACCCACTTCATAGGTGGTTGTATAGCGTTGTATGTAGAGCGTCGGTAGCTCAGGGGTCAAGCACTAGACTTGCAATCTGCAGGTCCTGGGTTTGAATCCCGTCAAGTACTAATGTGTTTTTCGATTTCCGATTATATATGTACATTTATCCGACGTTCTTACGGTGAAGGAAAACATCGTGATGCGACATGCACATATCTGAGAAGAAATTCAAAGATTTTTGTGAAGTTAACCAACCCGCACTGGGTCAACGTAGTTGACTATGGCCAAATCACTCTTAACTTTTGGTAGGCTCCGAGCCCCTCAGTGGGGACGTATAGTGAGCTGATGATGATGTGGTTGTATAAAGCAAGACTTAACTCTTTACGGATATAAGCATTTTAATAGGGGTAAAATTCAAACAACATTTTCGGTTTATTGTTAATTTAATTACAATCAATATGAAATAAAATTAATTTATTTTTTATGTTTCAATGACAAAGTGGCTTTTCAGAGTGAACAAGACCTGTACAGTCAGCTGCATAAATATGTAAGCATTTGTAAAACTCAGCATTTGTTGGAAGCATAAGGATAGATGCGATCCATATTTTTTAATCCGGAGGCGTATACGTGTTTGTCTGAAGCTTTGTAAATGTATACATATTTATGCAGCTGACTGTACATTATCATTATTTCTATTACTAGCTAACTAAACAATAGATAGTAGCCGATTCTCAGATCTACTGAATATGCTTATAAAATTTCATAGAAATCTGCC